CGTTAATTTTTTATGTATATTTATGTTTGTCTCAAAATTTTAAATTTGAGTTGCTTCTTTATTGGGTAATTTTGTGTGGGTAATTGAAAGCAAGAAAAGTTAATTTCCCGATATGTTCACAGTTTCTTTTATTTTTCATTTGCTTTACAATTTAGTATTATACTAAAAAGTTTGTTCATTTTGTATCACATTATCCACAAGCGGATATTCTTATATGTTTTTTTGAAACAAAAGAATTATTTTGCAATTGGTTCATGAACCTGACCATTGAATAAAATAATTGTAGTTGAGTTTCTTTATTGGGTAATTTTGTGTGTGTAATTGAAAGCAAGAAAAGTTAATTTCCCGAAACGTTTACAGTTTCTTTTATTTTTCATTTGCTTTACAATTTAGTATTATACTAAAAAGTTTGTTCATTTTGTATCACATTATCCACAAGCGGATATTCTTATATGTTTTTTTGAAACAAAAGAATTATTTTGCAATTGGTTCATGAACCTGACCATTGAATAAAATAATTGTAGTTGAGTCAAAGTAAGAATTTTGTTTGTTGTAAATTAAAAAGTACTTGAAGGGTCTTTCGACAGCAAAAGTTTTTCGTGGTGGTTCTATTCTAGCAGACATCAGCATAAATTGCATTCCTAAGGACAAAAGAGTTTCTTATCTTATTTGTGAACTATTTTCTTTTTTGTTCATAATAATCCCTAATTATTATCTTAATGCTTATTGTAAAAATGTTTAACGAAATTTTCGAATACAACAAAATAAAAGTTTGATTATCATTAAGGTCAATTTCTAAAGTAATTCCTTAAGGTGACCACTGAATAGTGTTGTTGAAGGGTACTTTTGTTTGTTTGTCTTGGAAATTAAAAAGTACAAGAAGGGTCTGTCAACAGCAAAGATCACTGGTTCTCGTTTTCTGAATGCTGCTGTTTTAAAAAATACCATTGCTGGGAAAAAATTGGAAATTGAGTAATATATTTCTGAACGTTAAAAATCATATTTTTATAATATGCATAGATCACTATAGTTTCTGTTATTACTGATCAATATAACATTAAAAAGGGTAACGTAAAGCAAGCATAAGATTTAAATATTCAATCAAACGACAATAAAGATTAAGAGGTGAAGAAATTTCAAATAACTTTGAAATTTACGAATAAAGTCTTGAGGCAAAGAATGTTACATCACTAATCACAGCTTGAAAATAATTAACATTTTTATTTAGTGGGATCCTTAAGGTGACCATTAAAAAGGATAAGTGAAGATTTTAATAATTTTGAATCGTGTCTATTATTATGCATTAAAATATATAAAAATGGTCTGTCAACATCAAAAACTGGAGTTGGCTTTGTAGACAGAGATGATCCGGGAGCTAATAATATTGCTGAAAAATTTACAATAATTGTGAATTTTTAATTACTGTCACAATAATTTTTACAAAAATTAATTTACAATTGGTTCCTTAAGGTGACCACTGAATAAAACTGTACTTGAATCAGAGTGTGTGTTGTGTTTTTTGTGATAAATTATAGAATATAAAAATGGTCTATCAACAGCAAAAATTGGTGTCGGCTTTGTGTACATAGATGCTCCAACGGCAATTAATACTGCTAACAAAAAATTACAACATTGTGGATTTTAACAATGAACTTATTTATAAAAATAACTTTTCGAAAATTTATTATTTATCACTTTTGAGTTTTATTGAAGTGACAATGAAAGCAAATATGTGCAAAATGTTTTTGCAAGAATTTATTATTCCAAGACACACTTTTCTTTTTTTTTAATGTGGAATTTGAATAATGAATTGCGTGGAAAGCATTAAAGAACCGTGACATATCTTTTTTTCACATAGCATGCGTTTGCTTATTATCATTAAATTTTAATGAAAAGAATGAGTTTTATTTATTGATATTATTAAGATGAAATATTTTTCCAGTTTATAACGTTTTGAATTTTTCCAATGAACTTTATTCGAGACAATGGAAAAAAATTTCCGAAATATGATTGATTGAGGTTAAAAATATAAATTATGATAAATAAATCTCTCTCCTCTCTTTCTCTATTTTGATAATTATCATTGAATAAAAAATAATTAATGAAAAGAAATAATCAATAAATAATAAAAAGTAAGAATAACAGTAATAAAAAAAGATAAAGATAAAATAATATTGCAATGTAAAAAAAATATGGTCTGTAATCTTAATCTGATTAAAAACGCCCTCATGGAAGCTTTAATGTTTTTATTGGTTCCTCTTCAAGGTCATTATTTGACAACCAATCGTCGCTTTATGACCTTGAAGAGCGACCAATAGAATGAACGGAACTTCCATATGTACGTCTCTACACGGGATATTTTACAAGAAAATCAATTTTTTAAGTAACTTTTTTATTTAACCGCAAAACTTAAAAATAACTTTTTGTAGTTTAAAAAAAAACATATTTACAAGGATTTTTACACTAAATTTATATTAATTATTTCTGAATTTTCTATTATCTTTCAGGGTCTGAAACGCGTCCATTGAACAACGATACATCGGAAATATCAAATGTATCATTTTGGTCATCCATATAAATAACGTTGGCAAATAACAGGTAGAAAAATGGCTTGTCGACTATAAATTGTTTCGTGGGCTCTGGAGGACTATCAATCCGCAAGGTAAGTGCGTATCCTATAAAAAAAGATAAAAATTCCATTTCGACTCAAAATACAAATTTTACATTTCGTAAAATTTTTTTAATTTAAATTTTGAAATCAATTTTCTTTTTGATGCCAACTAATTATTGAAAATTTTAATTCATTTTTTGCCATTTGTCTTTTGTTATTAATTGATGAAAACTACATGTTAGAAATTATTGTACAATAATTAACATATATAATTATGTGTTTATTTACAATGATCTTTTATATAAAAATATAGATTTTTATATAAAACGAAATATAACAGTTAAATGTTGAATATAATTAAAAATAAAATCATAATTCCGGCTTAGTAACATGGCCATTAAATAATGTATTTTCGGAAACATAAATTGGAAGTGAACTTTCGTCTCTATGAATAACAGTATGAACTAATGTATAGAAAAATGGTCTGTCGATTGAAAACGTTATCTTGGGCCTTGGGATAATTGCAGAGTAAGCTAGAGCTCGGAATTCTATAAAAAAAACGGGAAAAAAATTTCTTTCAAGTATAATTTCCATCTTTTGCCTGTAAATAATATTTAATGAATTTTTCCATCACCTCCGCGATTGATTATTAAATAATTATTACCGAAACCTCTATAGGAATTACTGTTAATAAATTTCCTTACACCAGTTATGGTTTAATTTAATTATATATGTTGATTAATTTTGCAGTATGAAAATTATTTCAGTTTTGTTTGATACTTTTTTTTTACAGAAAGCAAAAGAATTAAGTAATTATATTTTTAAAAAATCGAATAAGTAATTATTTACAAATAAATTAGAAAGTAAATTCAAAAATTTACAAGGTAAATTTAATAAAAACGCGTTCTTTTTGTCGTATATTTTACAAAAGAGGAGAGAAACATAATAGTGATTTTTTAACGTATTATAATTTTAATGTTTTTGTCAAAAGATATATGTTTTGATAAATTATTGACGAGATTATAGCTCATCGTTATGGCAGATTTTTCAATCCAAATTCACCTAAATTAATATAGGGAGAGAAATAATTATAAGAATGCAATGGAAATGATTTCCCCACTTAAATGTGTGTCATGCATTCTGAGATTGTTTAATAAAACAATTTTATTAGATTGCTATTTTTAATTTGTTTAGTTTTTAAATATAAAATTATTTCTGATTTACTGTTTTCGGCTCCATATCATAACTACTACATCCATAGCATATTAGATCAATACTTTTTTTAAAAAAATAAATTGTTAAAAATATTGTCCATTATCGCACTTTGACATTTCCTTTCAAGTGATAAATATTCCAATATTAGATTCTTGCTTATCGAACGAAAAGAAGCTTATAAAGAATATTTTTATCGTCTAATATTTTTCTCATAGATCGCGATAATCGATACACAGCATCCAGCTGGATCGAAATTATATAATATTATTGAACGGATTTGAAAAATAAAATCTGAATACAAACCAAATTCCAAAAAAAGAAACTTTCAAACAAATTAAAAACAAAATTTACCCTTTATATTATTTTCTTTCAAAGAATACCTCGGTAATTTTTAGGATATTTTCATGCAGCTTTAGTTGCAATATTATAAATTAAAGACATGCATAGCTGCATTTTCAAGAAGAAACATTCTCTTCTTTTATTTTTTTAGTCATGCACGTCATTAGCATTCGATGACTTAAAAATTATAAAATCAGTATTTTTCATTTCAAAGCTATTTTAAATTGAAAATTAAAGAAAGCGATTGTTTTTCGATAAACCATGTAAGCCAAACTCTTATGCTGTGTGATAGTGTTGTGATATAAGTGATTGAATATATAAATAACACTGCGTGCTTTCCATTTACTGAATTTTTGAATATATTGTAAATCTTTGTGTAGAGCATTATGTTTGCTTGTACGTTTTTTTTTTTGTTTTCTGGATTACAAGCTGCAAAGCCTGCCACCGTAGAGAAAAACAAGTAATTTGAAAGATGCTCCAAATAATATTCTTCTTTTATGACCATTGTTTATTTCGCGAATTTTTATAATTATTATTCGTATTTAAAAATTTTCTATTCTTTTGTTTCGTAGCTTTTCTCTAAAGAAACGATTAATTTATTAACAAATGTCACTCAAAAATTTTGGCTTTGAAGATTATAATAAAATATAAGCAACTTTATGTTTGAAGTTCAGTCTGCGAATTTTGATATTCGTTTCTAGTTTTGACGAGAATAGTTCGCAATAGTTTCGAAGGAAGAAATATTTTGAAAACACTTATTTGGAGTTTCTTGCAAATTTGAAAAAAGCAATACAAAAAATGGAATATTCAAAGAAACGAGCATTTTGAAACTCACCAGTTGCTGCGGCAGCCTCTGATCCTTCTTCGTTTACTTCAATGAAGGCTTTTTGCACAACTTTACTCACTTTAAGATCAGCGTCAGCAATGTTACGGAAATTAGCTTGGTCGGTAAACATTTCTCCCATTCCCATCTGAAATTGATTCAAAGTGATTTTCTTTAGATAACTAATTTTCATAAGTTTAGGAACCAAAACACCCAAATGTCCTGATTAGCAAGAATATTTAATGTTTAAATATCTTTGATACTATAATAAGTTTATTCTATAAATTTACTATAAATAAAGAATTTAAAGAGGCTGTTAAATGTATAGCTAGTGGTTTTAGAATATTATTATTTTAATATTTGGAAAAAACATTTACCTCAGTCAAAGTGTCCTTAAGATCAATGGTGCTTTCAATTTTGAATTTTGGAAGGTATAATTCTACTTCAACTTGAGATCCTCTACGTCTAATGTCATCAAGGCTCATTTCAGACATTTTTTGTTCCACTTCTTGAAGACCATTGATTTCATCGGGCAAAATAATGAGCATGCTAACTTCATCACCCTAATGTAAGAAAAAGAATTCATTTTAATTTTCATCCATTTTATCATCTGTATTGTCGAATTCTTTTAAAATTTTAATTGGCATCTAACAAGTGTCTAGAATTTAGACATGTCTACAATCATGTCTAGAATCCTATGACATGAAGCGTCTCTTTCGTTTCTACAATTTAGTATCGGACATTAGGGTCAGTTGAGTACTTTGTTAATCTTGTGCGAGATATTGGTACTCTTCGCGGTTGGAAGTATTTTTGGGTTCTTATATTTTAGTATCGAACTTGAGTTCTTGATTATTTTAAAGTGGATTAGTTTATCTATTCTGGTTTTGGTATCAAACATTTGAGTCAGATGTGTGGTCGGTTGTCATATTGGTATAAGAACTCTCAAGTTAGTTAAGAAGATGTTAAGATCGATGGTATTTTTACACAGAGCTTCAATGGAAAAATCGAATCGACTTTGACACCCCTTTAAAGACTTAGTGGACAACTGCAACTTAGTGAACTCCAACAATGTTGGAGCATTTTCTTCATTTTGATCGGAATTTTCGCGATTATTAGTGTTTGCAGTTAAGTGGCATGGAACATTTGGGTCAGTGTTTGCCATTCTTATATGTTGGTGTCGAACAATCTAAACAGTGTTTATTAGTGCAACATGAATCATTCGGATAAAGACTCATCAATGAAGGAGTCCATCAGTTGAACATTCGTGTTAGTAAATAGCAGATTTTATTTTCGTCATTTTCATCGGGGATTTTTAAAGTGACAGTGAAGTGCTTGATTAGTGTAATGTAGATATGTTTTTCGCGAGTGACAGTGAGTGTCTTTCTTGCATATCGGTGTCGTACATTCGAGTCAGTGAAGTGATTAGCCAAAGCCAAGCATAGTGCGTCTTTGTAATTTTGATCGTATTTATCGTGAATATCAGTGTTTGCCGAAAGAACTCACCATCGGAGGAAATCCACATTCACCAAACATTTAAGTTGTTGAATAATGCTGGATTGTTTGTGCATGTTCGTACTCTCTAAATTTGAATCAGCGAAAAGTCGCTGATTCACCAGCCCAGAGTATGCAGCTGATGAAACAGCGTATATACGCTGGAAAATCAGTGCATATACGCTGTTTTATCAGTGTATATACGCTATTTCATCAGCTGCATACTCTGGGCTGGTGAATCAGCGACTTTTCGCTGATTCAAATTTAGAGAGTAATTTGGATTGTATTTATCGCGAGTGTTAGTGTTTACCAGACCATTCGGAAAAGGACTCATCATTGGAACTCGTCATTGACCAGGAGGAACATCAAATACGGACCATTTTATTAAAGGTAAGACCGAAATTATTTTACTTTTAACCATTAAGGATTAAAAAGTAGAAGGAGTACCCTTTCTTCCTCAATTTTCGTACTTTCATCTCAATAATCAAATATCGATTTCACACCATAGAAAGGAATTTGCAGAACAGATTTTTGTATTCTCTATTCAAACATTAACTTTGTATAAAAATTCTTACCTTGTATGGAATTTCGACGAACTTCGCCTTCATTTCAGGGAGTTCACCATAAACGAGTTTGCCATTTTTGTACATTGTTGGCACGTCCTTGACAGTTTTTTCATCAACATGGAAAGGCTTGTTGTGGGTGTTGTTTGCATCGAACTTCAATTTCCATTGTCCTTTGAAGTAGACGGCATTAACGAGAACCATAGCAGTGCTAGCATCAACATCATCTGAAAGTAATTAAATTAATTATAAATATAGTTAGATATAAATAATATAATATAATTAGATATAAATGAAGTATTTATAGATATTCCGTAAAGAATATTTGGTACGTTCTGTTTCATAAATCCTTACCGGGTTTAATGAGATCTTTAATTTTCTTGTTGGTCTTTTCCTCACACCAAGTATTAATGGTTTTTGCTGCTTCACTGGATTTCGAGAAGTCGACTTGTTGTTCTTCAGAACGGAAATTATCCTTCGTTAGAGCTTTAAATTCTGGTTTTACTTCGAGATTAACACTGGGGAAGATTTTGTTGGCGAGTTTTAAATCCACTTCTTTGACACTCTAAAAGATTGATAATAATGATATAAATGTATTACATATTTGGGGTTTTTTATTTTTAGTTTTTGAAAATATAATTATGTACGTTTAGACTGTCGATCAGGTTTTGGTAGCCGGTCTTTGAGAGACCCTCATCAGCTGGCATTCGAAGAACTTCTTGCATTTGCTTTTTGGTGTTCTCCTTAGCACCAAAGGCTGCCATTGATAGGACGACATTTGCACTTAATGGGGAAGTAATTAGATTTCCTGGTTGTTTTTTCGCTACTGTCTAAAAATTAAAAATTAATTTTTTTTCTTAGGTTCAAAATTCTATGATAAGAGTTTCGTGTTGTTATTTTTACACTGTGTAATTAGAAAGTATTTTTTTATAAAAAATAATTATTTCTACTTTTAACGTATAAATGTCACGTCATCGAAATGTTGATAAGACTTCCTCTTTTACAAATTATCAAGAATTAAGTCTTAAGGTGGGTGATAAATTGCCACATCATCGATAATGATGTTACAATCTTCTAGAATTCGCTACAATTATCAAATATATGAATTGAATTTATTAACTGGCAGAAATTGAATCTTAAATATAATTCTAAATTGAATATTGAATCTTATTCCCTTAAATTCAAAATTATTTTATGAAATAAAAAATCATTTCTTTACTTTTAATTGTGTTAACAACAAAAATTTCGTGTCTGTAGAAACATTTTTGTTTCTACTATAACGAAATGTTTTTTAATAAATGAAGATGAATCCAAGATGTTGGATAACACTTTCAAAAATACATAATAAGTTGCAATGAAAAATGAAAATTATAAAAAATGTACCTTGTAAAAGTGTGTGGAAAATTGTTCGGCACTGTTGGTGACAGCCTGAAGAGGTGAAACTTGCTTGTCAACAGCTGCAGCCATCGTGTAGGCCGTTAATGCACACAGAAATATAACTGAAAAAAATAATTGAAGTCGGACGATTAATATATACTGTTTGTGTTGATATATACCTCGCGTTTAATGTATAAATGTATCTTTTTAATCTGTGATTCACGTCGTATATTTTTTTCTATGCATGTATTGTATATATCTTGGACAGCTTTTCAGAATATACTTTTAAAAGTTAACGTGACGACCACACTGAAACATTGATAAATGACAACTGATGTTTCTAAAGATACCTGTACTTTTAATCAGCGAAAATGAATCGATATTTTTATCAAATTCTTCCGGCTCTTTTGTAACACGTAACACTAGAAATGAGTCACAAATTGTTTTTAAACTTTTCTTATCAAAACTTGAAGTTAATGAAAATGTTTTTTTTTAAAGAACACAGCAAAAAAAAAAAAAGTTTAGAAAATTTTATTGAACTTGTAAAATTTAAATCAATTTTTTATATTAGTATTTGGAAAATCAAATTCGATAAAAAATTTTATTTTATTGAATTCAATTTTTAATATTGCATAACAGAATTTATTGTAGAAATACCAAAACATAAACGTGAGGTAGAAACTATAATATAGTGACTCAAATTACTGAATAAATTAATTTTCTTCTATTGCTTCTTTATTATTGGTTTTGTAATTTTTTATATTTAACCTTATTGTCAAGTAATAAAAATAATTAATTTAGTATTAATTGCATTTATTACACCTGTCTCGGAGTAATCGATTTAATAATAATTATTTTAATTTAATGCTACTAAATAATTTAAATTTGAAGTTTTTGAATTTAATTCTAATTTTTTTATGTGTACATTTCTTTCGATATATTAAAAAAAAAATTTTTTTAATTCAATTTTTATTTTCATTTCTGCCATTGAGTATGATATTTTTATTATTTCGCATTTTATTTTTCTGCACATTTATATAAGTTCAACGAACAATATTCTTACAAGGTTGTAATTATTGATCCAAGAGGTTCTATACTAATAAAAAGTGTAATAAAACAAACAATAAAATAAAAATATAGAGATCACGGTTAAGATTTCTCCATGATTCATATTATTTTTTTTTCTACAAAGATACTGTATTTTACTTTATATAAAAAATATAATTGTTCATTGACATTGAAATGCTATTGTCTTGTATATTTTGGAAAATATTTCAATTTTAAATAATCTTTGAAAAATTATATCTCTTGACTAAATTTAATTTAAATAGTTTATATTAAATAATTAAGAATTTTGAAATACTTTAATTTTATTATAATACTTTAATTTGTCTAAATATTATTAAGTATTATAAATATATTTTTAATCAATGTTTTTTTAATGAAATATTCAACACTGTTAATTTATCGATTTAAATGTTATCATTTTATTTCTTTTCTTATAAACGTTTTCAAGAATTTGTCATTATTTTATCGCACAATCAAATAATTAATGTAGCTTTGGAAAAACCAATTGAAAAGCAATAATGTTATTCAATGACTGGAATTAATTTTATCATTTTTTTTTGTACACAAAGAATGGAATTTTTATCTTCCTATTGAAATCACTAATTTTTTTCAATTAAAATAATTATTCTCTTATATGCTTTTCCTTAAAATATAGTGAGAAGAATTTAATAAGAGATGAGTTCTGAATGAACATTAAATAATTATGTAATATTATGCTATAAGTTTTTTATTATTATTATTTAAAAAATTTCTTAACTAATTTTTTTAACTTTTTTATGTTTCAGTCATTTTTAGGAAAAGGATTTCTCTTCCCTCATTTCCGGACATTTAAGCAGTTCATTGGTGAGTTTTGTATAAAATATCGTTTCTAAAAATAGTATTATTTCAAAGCGAAATTATATTTTTATTTAATTTGAAAACTTAAATACATAAACAATTAGTAGGATAGGGAAGAAAAGAAAGAAATTTTTTTTAATAATCAAAAACTGGAATTATACAGTTGTATAAATAACTATACTAGTCACAATTCTTGATTTATATTCAGGAAACAATACAAATAGATTTAAATATTTATAATTTTATTAGGTCAATGTCACATGTTTTATTCATTTTTTAAAAAAAATTGGGAAGGGGTAAATAAATTTGCTATCATTTAAAATACAATAATCTTTGTAAACTTTGAATGGATTTTAAAATTGTTTAAACAATGTTAATTCAGTTAGTATAATAATATTATGATATCGTATTATTTGTCTTGGGTATGGCCTTAAAGTTCAATGTTTCAGCTGCGTGAATTTTTGTTTTCTGTATTTTATAATATGTCGCTCTTGTGATTTAATTAAAAAAAAAAAAGACAGAAAAATAATGATAAGACAAATAGAATTAATATTAAATAGATAATAGTAATACGTAAACATAACTCCTTTCTTTCTATTTGAGATTATTTTTGAAACTTGTGAACTAGTTTAGTTCAAGGTCTAAACTTATATATGAGATAAATACATAATTACAATAATAATTCTTGTTCCTTAACGGTCATAAAATGTTTGGTAATTTTCAACAAATTTATTCTATTGTAGTTTTGATTTATTTGAATTTATCATTTGGGTGCGTATTGAAAAAAGTATTAATAAATTTTTAATTTAAATATTTATGAAGTTAATTAAATTTTAGAGAAAAGGTTAAATTTGAATCACATGTGACAAAAAAAGATTTTAATTGATATAAAAATGGAAATTTTTTTTAACAAAAAATGGAATATTAAAAAAAATTGATTTTAAAATTTATTTGCACGAATTAAAATTAATTTTGAACTATACGTGTATTTATAATATTTTATTGTATATGATAATTGATGCTTCTTTTTTTTCTTTCTTTTCAATAAAATAACAGAACGTGATAAAAAATTTGTTTTGAAAAACACTTGTTTAAATAAATTGGAATAAACATCTGTTATTTCTTTAAAGAATGATGCAAATTATTTTGTTAAAAAATATGTATATGAAAAGAAATTGCAGGAAAGTTTTACCTATTTTTATTATTTTTTATTTTTTTGTTGTTGTAAATATTTTATTAGAAATTATAATATCAGGGTTGCTACAAAAATAATAATTAAAAATGACCGTGTTACAAAATCATTATTTTATATTATAAAAGAACTTTAACTTTATTTAAGAACTACTTTAACTTCGTCAAAATTATTTTCATCACTTCAATTTAATAAACATTTTCTAGAATTTTTAAATACAATTCTTCTTTAAATCAATTATTTTTAATAATTTTTGAAAAAGTTCTTTGACAATTTTCAAATCCATCTGTTCACAATTCAATTTTATGAAATTTCGATTATTTGAAAATTCTTCAGTGAAATATATATTAGAAAATAAAAACTTGAAATTTAATTTTTACGAAGAATTTTTTTTTAACAATTTTTGAAAATAATTGAAAACTTTTTGAAGAATTTTATTAAAATTTTCAAAAATAATTTAATTCCTGAGATGAATTTAAATAATAATTTATGTAAATAATTGGATTCATGCGAAGAATTTTATTAAAGTTTGTTTAAATAATTGAAATTTTGACAAGAATTTTATTAAAATTTTTGACAATAATTTAATTCTATTTCGCTATCTATATTTATCAAAATAATTTGATTCTTGACGAGAATTTTTAAAAAATTTTGAAAATAGTTTAATTTTTGCAAAGTATTTTATTCTTTTCTAAAGAACTGAATTCTTGTAATGAATATTAATAATTATCAGAATAATTGAATTTTGGAAAAAAATTTTATTAAAATTCCTTAAAATAATTGATTTTATGGAAAAGATTTTGTTGTTTATCAAGATAATTGAATTTTTTTGCAGAATTACTTAAAAATTTTTGAAAATAATTGATTTTCTGCGATGAATATTAAGAGTTATTTATGAAAATAATTGAATTATTGCAACTAATTTTATATTTTATTGAATAATTAAATGTTTCTTAAAATTAAATTTTTTCGTCAAGTTTTAATAAAATTTTTAAGATTAATTGCACTTTTCGAAGAATTTATTTAAAATTGTATTAAAAGTAATTTGAAATTTTGCGATGAAAATAATTCGAATTCCTAAATGAAATTTTATTATTTATGAAAATAATTGAATGTTTTCGTAAAATTGTATCAAATTTTTTTTTTTTTATTAATTAAATCTTTTGATAAATTTTAAGAAAATAGTAAATATTGAAAATTATTGAATCGCGAAAAACTTTTAAAAATAATTAGAGTTTGCAAAGAATTTTATTTAAATTCCTAAAAATAATTGCGTTTAAACTTTTGAAATAATTAAATAATATGAAAAAATTCATTCTTGTCAGAAATAGAAAAATTTGTTGAAGGTTTTGTATTAGAATTCGTGGTAACTTTATAATTTATGAGTCAAACAAAAAAGATAAAAAAATTCAGAATTTTCTTATGAATTCTAAAAATTAATTTTTTTCCAGAATTTGTAATAAAAATCCCTGAATTTTCCCTGATTTCCCTGACCTGTGGCAACCCTGCTCTCTAAATCTGAAACAGCGATAAGTATACAACTGATTCCAATTTTAGCGTATATACGCTGCGAATTAGTAAAATTTCGCTAAAAAATCAGTGAAAATCCACTAATTAATTAGCGTATATACGCTTTTTGGAATTAGTTGTATAATTATCGCTGTGAAACAGTGAAATTTCGCTTATTAAAATTTAGAGAGTGAATATTAATATTATAGGATTTATACTTATTTGCTTTTTGTTAATAATTATTAATTAAAGTTATCTTTCTATTAATATTATATTCAATTATAATTATATTATACAGTTGACTCTCGATAAACTCATGGGACTTAAAAATATATACATTCAAATTATCGAGGATTTTATTTAATGAATTGTTTTAAACTATTGAAATTTTTTCAAGGGACCGGAAATTATCTATTGAATAACTAATCTGAATCGAAAGTTTAATAATTATCGAGAGATGACTGCATATATTTTTTAAACTCATAAATATTTATTACAATTGATAAGTAAATATAGTTAATTATTTTAAAAGCGTATAGAATTTTATTGAATTGAATTGAACAAAATTATATTATTGGTGTATAAATTATGTGTATGAAAATTACATACAAACATTACATGTAGGACCATTTGTATATGACTTTTAAATTTAGTATTAAAGCAACAAGGCCATGGTCGTCTTTTGATCAAATTCAATATGGGAGAGGCCAAAATATAGAGCGGAACTGATTATTATCAAATTTACATGTAAATAACTAACAAATTTATTTCACTTAAATTCATATTAAAAGTAATAAATATAATTAGTTGAAATAAATAAAATAATTAGAAAAATGTGACTCCTGTATAATAATAGTGTTATATTTCTCAACTAAGTGTCTATTATACATATAAAGTTAATAAAATGATTGTTGAAGAATAACGATGAGCATAATCAAGATCATCGGTCAGAGTTCTTTTATCGATACAGACATTTGCCTTTTCAATTCTCACTTATTCACAGATCTGATTATATCAAGGCATTACATATTAAAACTATGTTTAATTTAAAACAAATATTTTTTATTCCATTTTTTTATTATTGCAATTTCAAGATTGAATATTGAAATTGAAAAAGTATTTTCTTTTGCATCCGTTAATTTTTAATATTCCATGTTCTGTTTTATAATTAATTACTTTGTTTCCACCGCAAAGAATATCTTATATCAATATATTCATTTTTCTCATATGCCTCAGAAGAAAATAAAAATATTAATAATAAAAGTAAGAAATACATAAAAATGGTTAAAATTACAATATTGGACATTAGTAGTTTAGATTATTTTTTGTTATTTTGACTTTGAGATAATTTTTTACGCAAAATAGATAATAAATATATAAGAAAAAGTATTTTTAAAAAAATGTAGGTAGAATTTTTCTTAAGGAATTACCGTCACAGTCGTATGAATCATTATATAGCTACTCTAAAAAGCAATTCATAATACAAAATGTATAACTGAAACCTTGAATGAATTAGACCTGATGATCGCAAAGTTGCTTTAGAAAAGTAATAATATTTATAGGTATAGTTATTTACTATATGTTTAACGTTCATTGGTAATTAACAAATTTTATTTTATAGAAAAATGTGTGTTTTTCCGTAAAAGACTATAATTATTAATTATGATAAATACAGAAAATCATTGGTTGTAAAAAGAGCGTAATATTCTTTTCTAAGAAACATTTAAAAAATGAGCGCTTATTTTTACTAATAGTTAATTAAGATTGTGTTTATAAACATAACCTAAATTCATATTTGCGATTTTTATTTTTTATATTCTTCATCAAAGGGAATAAAATCTTTATCAAAAAAATATGTATATACATACATTTAGTTTATCTTTTCATTAAAAATAGAAAGAAGATGTCCTATTTTGGAAAATACAAAGTTCTGACAAATTTGCCTCAAAACAATTTTTTTCTCAGTGAAAATTTTTAAACATTTGCGGAAATCTGAGTTAATTATAATTTTATTTGTATGTAAAAAGATTATTAAGAAATTTAATTATTAATAAGTAATTTATTTCAAAATGAAAGCTTTTTGATATTCAAAACTTCTGTAAGTCTTTTTAGCAGGCTTGATTTTTAGATATATATTAAGAATAATATTAAATGATAAACATAAATAATATTAAACTAAAAATGATGAACATTTATCTACTTTATTTCAAATAAACGTCAAAGAGAACAAATAATTATTATTAAACTATTGCACGTTCCATTAGATTGATTTTGTTTTCCCAATTCAAAATGATTTAAAAAACATTACATTTGAAATATTGTATAATTTTTTTTTACACTTAATTATATACTGCTTACACTTTTCCCATAGACAATAATGTACAATTATATTTCTAGACACGCATTATACACATATAAGAAAAAAAAATAAGAAGTCGAAAGTCGTAAAACAAAAATCACTTTGTACTGAATATGCAAGAGTGTAAAATAACTTTGTATATTACATAATGTAGTAATCATTTGCGTATTCTTGATTAAAAGTAATAATAAAAATAATAATAATAAAGTATGTAAACAATATGTGCGGCAAAAAAATTTAACCCTTTGGGGCCGTACACATAATACGTCACGCGAACAGGGGGAGGGGGGGGGGGTCAAGACATTTGTGACGACCTATAGAAAAAATGGCGCTAATGTATGGGACAGTGTGTGACATGGGGGGAGGGGGGGTCTAAAATGGTCAAAAATCGCGTGACGTATTATGTGTACGGCCCCTTTGAGAAAAAACTCCGCGATGGAAAATAAAGTGGACAAATAATATGAAAAATAATTGTTTAGTAATAACCGTAAAAAATATGCAGAATTCAATTTAGATAAAATATTTTTAAAATATGTTTTGTTGAGATAACAGTAGGGTCGTAAATTTTTTATTTAAATATTTCAAATATGCAACGATTATTATATTTAGACTTTCAGAAATTAAATTTGTCACGTTTCTATGCTATATAAAGATGCGATTTTTTCAAAAAATAATAATTTTTTATGGAATGCTTTTTAATTAAATATTTTATTATACAGCTTTTTAATCTTTTATATATAACATTTTAAAATATAAATAATAAATAAAATATAAATATAAAATAATAAATAAAATAAAAATAAAACATACAAATAAGATTATAAAATACAAAATTAAAAAATAGTTTTTCTATTTAAATTTACACTGAAAAGAAATTATTTGAAGCAAATACCATTTGATTTAAATAGAAATTATTTGATTCAAGTAAATATTTAATTGATAATAGTCATCGATTATTTGAATCAAATAAATTTTTTTCCAGTTTATTTATTTTATTAATTATTAAAAATTCTTAATTCTCGAACAAATAAGTAGTTTATAAAGATTTAAATTTTTTTGTTCAAGACATCAATTTGTATATAATGGAGTTAAAAATAATGAAAATAAATAAAATATAAAAGTCATAAAAAACTGAATTAAAATAGAATTAAAATTAAATTACCTATGTATATGAGTATGAAAAATTAATTAAAATTTGAGTCGGATAAAATATATTTTTAAACAAACGGGACTAACCTTTTTGAAAAATAGAAATAAATGAATTAAGAAAAATGACATTTAAAAAATAAATTTAAAAGTAAGGAAGTAAACATTAGAAAAAAATTTTTGTTAAACATTTTGTATAATTTCATTAGCTATGTTTATATTTTTATATGAATTAAAAAAAATATAAAATAATGAAGAAAATTATAATTATTATTTTGTAAAATTTCATTAAATATGTTAAATTTTTATAATGAATATAAATAAAACAAAAAATATAAAATAATGAAAAGAATTATAATCTAATTATCATATCACTAATTAGTAGCACAAAAAACAAATAAAAACATGAGATAGAAATGAATAAAACTGAAAAAATTAATAATTAGTTTAATTAAAATTTACTCACATAAGCGCATTTTGAAAAAATGAAACTGATTCACTGTTAAAAATTTTCTTTTCGTTTTTTTGCCTTTCTTGAACGTTAACTGAACCGATAAAAAAGCACTGTTCACGATACGAGCTCAACGTCAATCGCAGACGATATGAGTTTGCAAAGGTTATAACGCCGCTATTTAAATCCAAGTCGCGTTAGTAGCCGAATGGATCAACGATTTCTGTTTTAATGGATTCGGAAGTTTGACGTGATAGGGATTCTCGGTTAGAGTAATTTTAAGGGGGGGGGGGGGGGGGGGAGGATGGAAAGGGGGGCCCACCATTCGGAAATTTCTCTTTTCATTTTAATATTTACGATATTTACTTTATTATATTTTTAGGGTGTCAGAGGTCAAGGTGTATACACAACTTAATTGACCATATAGTCAATTCACGTTAATTACGTATGATATATATATGTATAATATAAACTATTTAATCAATATATTACATGAGAGATTTCAAGTGAAATTGAAAGTCGTCATTAAATTTTTTTCTTTGAGAATCATTTTTTATATTAGACTTTTAGTTCTTTAGAATAGATCAATTTTCCAGTTGGGTTAAAAATAAAAAAAAAGTATCAAAAAAAAACTTTTTTTTTTATTCAAATTGAAATTTTTTTAGTTTCACTCCTCGCTAGACTTATTTCAAGTAGAGAAGAGTAGAAAATTTCTGCCTTGGAATCCTTAAAAATGTTTACTAATTCGAATTAGTGACTGACTTTATGCTTTTGAATTAGTAAATTTTATTAATGAATTAGTAGAAATTACTATTTATTAGTAAAATTTACTAATTCAAAAGGAAAATGTCAATCACTAATTTTATTCAAATTAGTAAACATTTTTACTAATTCTATAGTTTTTCGATAAATTCAAAAATAATTCTGCTGGATCCTTATTTATAAAAATATTTTGCATTATATTAATATTTTCGAGTACGTGTGAAAAAAAATATAAATATTTACTGTAATAAAATAAATTTATTATAATTTAGTAATTTACAATAACAATAATATAATGTTTGTTTTATTTACAATTATTTATTTATATTTTATAGTCGTATTTTGCAAAAATATTTTTTTATTATAAATAATTTACAAATATAGTGTAAAAATGTTATGGGCACAAACGGAAAACAAGAATAAAACGACGTAGAGGTGTAAAGAGAGTAAGAAAAAAAAATTGCAAAAGCGACTTTGTTGGGGAAATCCAATTCTCGAAGACGTACGTTTCAAATTTGAATCATTAAATTTGAGTACGTTTGCTCATAAATTATGTGTGTATTTGTGTGACTTTTTTCTCTCGTCACGAAAGAAAAACTCATACATCAGTTGGGACACATTTCTAATGGTATGTGACCCTGAAAAAGTTATTTCGAATTTTAATTATTATTAGGAAAAACCCAGTCTTCAACCGGAAGAAAATTAATTTTCTATTGTTATACAATATTTATTATTGTAAGAGGAATATTTTTCGCTAGTATGGATGCTTTTTCTTTGTGTGTTGTTTTAAAAAAAATGTATATGCATCTTATTATCAAATTAGCAGTGTTTAGGGAACAAGGAGCTTATTGTTTAATAAACTGAAACAGTATAGAAATTTACCATTTTTATCTTTTTTTATTTTTATTTTATTTTTTTCCGTTTGTACCCATAACATTTTTATACTACATTTGTAAATGTTATAAATTTAAATTATAAATTCTTTTTAAGAAAATAACTTCTTTAGTAAAGAAAATAACAATTTTAAACTATTTTCATAGGAAATTGCGTCTTTTACAAATCTCTCAGAATAAGAATATATTTTTCACTGTAAAAATTAATTTTACTTTCAGACCACTTTTGACTGAAATTGTTTACAGTATAGACAATCTTTTGACTCAATTTTAATCTTGAGAATTTGGTTTTAATTTTAAAATGGATTTTATTTAATTTATTTCGAAGCTTAAAAAAAACTACTTTTCAATCATTTTGGTTTTAAGTTGTAATCGCTTTCAGTTTTTTCTGTCTTCTTTCATATACTCTCTAAATTTGAATTATTATAAAAATTTAACTAATTATTAGTAGAATTCTACTAATTGTTATAATCAGAATTGAGTTGTTGATGAATGATAAAAATTTACTAATTCCATTAGTAAAAGAAAAGTTAGATTGAATCAGTTGTATAAAAATATTATAATGTCAAATTTACTAATTTATCCGTTAATTTTAAAGACTTCGTTGGTTTTTCTCCAGCTGTCATTATATTTACTGATTGGATCAGTAATTTTGCAAGAATTAACTGATTTAATAGTTAATACATTGACAAAATGGATAAAATAACTTTTACTACTTTCATAGTAAAACCTAAACTGTCAAAAACTTCTGCACCTTTTTTGAAATTTTTACTATTTTCGGAGTAAATTTTCCTATGTTGAAAAATATTAAAAGTTGACGGAAATGCGCAGAAATTTTTGTCACTTTAGGTTTTACTATGAAAGTAGTAAAAATTATTTTTTCGTGCTTCCCGTGTACTAAAATGTACTGTTTGAATGAGTAAAAATTTTACTAATTAAAAATTAGACAGTTTAAGATTTTATTCGTATACTTTAAGAAAATTTTATACGAATTCTTATTTAGCAAAAGTGACTTTAGGAAGAAATTGTAACTTTTATTGAGAAGTTTCCTATTGTTAGCACTTTTATTAAATAACCTAAAGCTTTAATAATTAATTAGGGTACGAAAGTATTGTAATATTATTAAAGTTTTAGATTATTATCGAAGATTTCGATGACAAAAGTTTACTACTACCAATTCGTTTTATCTTATTTATTAATGATAGACTTCTTAGAGAAATAGGGAAACTTTTGTTTTGAAAATTATTTTATCGTTAATTATAGGAATCCCCATGTATAGAGTCTAACAAAGAATTAATCAAATATTTATTCAAGTTTCACATTATATTATCGAAGGTTCTGATGATAGAGTGATTCATTATTTCACCTGTTCTTTCTGTAAAGCTATCTGCTTTCTTTTCCGTTTGAAGCGGAAAAAATGTACGCAATATTTATCTGAACTTTATTTTTGACTTTTATAAAAAAAGAGGAATAAAATCTGTCTTGAAATGATAATTTGCATTCATGTTTAGATCCTCGAAATTTCCATAAAATTTGTATATCACTGCTCCATTGTTCGGATAGGTCTTGTTAAAATTAATTGAAACATTTTGTATGTATAAACAAAAAAAAATTATTTATAACATTTACCATTTAGTAGATGGTACTTTATAATTAGATACTTTGCAGTATAAAAATTACAGTAAATAATTTTTAGGATTTGTCATTTAGTATTGTTTCTGAATGATGGCTTTTAGATTGTAAATTGTTTACTTTAAAATTTTTCAATGAAAAATTCGTTTTTAGTGCATACCATGAAATTATAATTTTGAACGAAAAATATTTGAACAACCTTGTGTGACGAAATTATTTAAAGATAATATTATATACGCGCAAATAGTTTTGAAAAAAAGTGATGCATAAGACATTTTCTAAACACTTGCCTCATTAACATTTACTAAAAAGAAAAAAGTTCATTAAATTTGTCAAATAATTTTTTTATTTTCCTTGTTCGACAAAAAATGTTTTCAAAGGAACGTTTGATTTTTGCCTATAGTTAATTTTTTAATTTCTTTTTGTTGTTATTTATTCGAATTTTTTCATTATTAGCAGCATTATTTTAAAAATTATAAACTCATTTAGAAATTTCTAGAAATGTTTCTGCAGACATGGAGGTGAAAATTATTTAATAGTAAACAAATAAAATAGCAGTGAGGCAGATTTAGAGCAGATTTACAGTAATAATTAATAAGTATCATTAAGTTAGCACATGTAAAAAATTAGTAAATCGTAAAATTAAAATATGAATATAGAGTTTTTTTGAAAAGAATTAAATTTAAAAAAAATTGTTACATAATAAAGTTTGCAATTATAAATAGTTTTTATATTGACTCACCAGGTATCTATATCGAACTTTTATTATACGTCTATCACAACACGAATTTTATGATTAATTTTTAAATGAAATGATTTCTAAGAATTGGGTATTTAATTTTTCTAAGATTAAACAGTGCAAGAAGTTATTTATTTTGAAAAATATTTTTATTTCTCTAATTTATTTTCTAGATTTTTTTTAGTTAAATTTTGACACTATTTATTACACAATTTACATTGAACGAAGCATGGGAAATAATTTTCAAATTTATAAGAAATGAGGAAAACAATTGAAATCAATATTATATTTTCTTTTATTGTCAAAGATGTTATATCAATTAAAAATAATTTTTTAATAAACTTTCAAGCACATTTAAAACATTCAAGATATTTTCATATTGTTATTATTATTTCAAAGTAGGTGTGTCACTACTGTCGGCAATGGTGATTCTTCATTTGTTGGCATATGGTACAAGGAAAGTTTTATTATGAAACCTTAAAGTACTTACGAAACTTGAAACTTTCTATAAAAAAAAAGTTCTTTAATTTCATAATTAAACTGGCAAAATTAAAAAAAAAATGGATATGTATTCATGTGGTAATTATATTTCAAGAATAATTGACAAATTATTAATGATCATGAAGCTGACATAACAATTGATAATATACTTAATCAATATTATGTTTGAGAAGAGAACATTTTATCTGCCCTTTGAAAAAAAGAGGGAAACATTTTTTATTTCTAAATCTTAAGAGAAAATTAGTAAGAAGATTCGTTTCTCCTTTCAAAAAGTTGAGAAATATTTTTTTTTGTACTTTAAAAAATTGTTTTGTAATTAATAGTATGTAATGTTAATTCTGTAGTATTGGAAACTTTATGCGACATTATATTTTTGTTCCAGAATCTTCATCCGATTGAGTGAATCAGAAAGTTATTGATGTTTCCAAAGATAATAGGCTGTTATCGCTTTTTTCTTGAGGATTTACATTTGGTAAGTTTCTTAAATTTTTTTATCGTTCGTAACGATTTTTTCGCAGTGTCTTGATAAGAATTTGAATCATTCCTAAATTTGTTTTTAACAATTTTATTAGTGATTAATTTTTATTTATGTAGTAAATTCTATTGTTATAGTTTATTCAGGCAAAAAGTTACGATTCTGATAGTGTAAATTTAATACGTATGTCAGTAGGTCCTAGTAGATCCCCGTATCATATTATAAAAACAGAACAAAAAATTTTTAATCATATAGTTTTTTTAACCCTTCAAGAACACACCAATTTTTGCAATCTCAAAAAATACATGGTGATTAATTTAACCCCAAAAAAATTTTGAACGTCATCCACTTACAGTTGAAAAAAGTCTGGAATTGTTTACATCTTAAAACCAAAATGATTGAAAAATGCAGAATTTTAAAGCTTAAAACTAAATTAGGTCAATTTTAGGGCTTAAAATCATACTCTCAAGACTAAAATTCAGTTCAAATGTAGGTTTGAAGGTTTGAGTCAAAGATGGAAGTAAAATTTATTTTTTAGTGTTGGAAAAAGAATTGTCCTATCGTCTGGCAAAAATGATCTAAATTTCTGTAAATATGGACCAAATTAATTTGTAAAAGTACTGAAAGAATTAATAACATTTAAAAGAAATTAGTAAACAAATGCCGTTTTAAAAGAAAAAATCGTGTTTTATAAAGAAGCCTGAGGTCAGACTGACTTCGTGTATTAAATATTTTATTTCACAGCATATATAATTTAATTATTGTATTTTTTCGTAAACATTTTCTAGCAATTTCTTCAAAGGACAAATCATCTATTAGAGGATGTACTGTCATTAAGGATCAGGATGTTCTTCCAGTTGTTTTAAAAGACCCGGAGGCAGGAATCGAGAAGAAGATCCGCAGAAGATAACCAGCATCAGGAATCTTCGAGAGTGGACCACATCATTCTTCTAGAGGAGGCGCGATGGCATAGCATCCATCGACCAGCGTGGGATTCGCCGTCCGGTGAGTCAATAATGAAAACCTTTTTTTAATTACACCCCTTCCCTGTTTGAAGTTATAATTTTTCTTCTAAAATTAATTCGAAAATTGAAAATTAATTATTTAGATACTTTTAAAATTTAAGTTAATATTGATTCAATTGAGAGATTAAATTTTTTTAAACAGGAAAGGAAAATAAACAACATAGTGACGCCATTGACAAAAATATTGTTCTATAGCATTTGTTACTACGTATTAATAATAAATTCTAATTAGGCATTTTATCATGTGACGTCAAAGGCTAGTGACGTCGCTATCTGAAGGGACAACAATATTATGTTAAAATGCCTAATTATTATGTATTATTAATAGATAATGCGTCTTCCATGAACTACGTAACCCTTTTTTGGAAGATTTGACCCCCTGCCCCTTGAAATACAACGTAGTTTATGAAAAACCGTTAAATTAATATTTTTGTCAATGTTTTTTATTTTATTTGTTGTGTTTTGTATAATTTTTTTATGATTCATAGTAACTTTAATTTTCTTAAAAAAAAGTAATTGAAACTAGATTTTTGTCACATATAATTTTTAAAATCATTTTATTAGAATGTTTTCAATTATTTAATTGCTTTACAATTAGATTTTCCTAATTTTTTGATATTTTTTTATTGATTCAAAAAAATTTGTTTTCTTAAAGTTTAATTATCTTATAGTCTAAGCTTGTAAAATTTTAGAGTTAAATTTTTCTTTTGGTAAATTCATTTTTTTCAAGATAATTAAAAATTGTTTCTTTTCAGCAATTTTTTGAGTGATTTTGAGCTCAGGTGACGGATGCGTCCCGGGACGTATGGGAGCCTAACGTGCCCCTTTATCCCTAGAGTAGGTCTTTTGCACCTGGGCGGTATGTGAGAGAAACGTGAACTGTTTGTATGATTAAAAATTAGGTTTGGAATATAAATAGATAATTTGACTAGGTAGGAGTAGCTTTTTTAGTATGAACGAGACAATTTTTTTTTCGCTTTGCTTTCGCTGTAGGTAGGAAAATCGTGATTTTTTTAAAGTGAATGTCCCAACCACTGAGTACCAGTGAATTGATACATTTTTTGATTTTTATCTTTTTGTCACTATGTTGTTTCAATTTTTATTTTATGATGCCAAAATATTTTTAAATTGTACATTTATTATTGTTTTACACTTGTTTAATTGAAAATTAAATTTTTTTTTACATTCTTAACTAAAAGAATATAAAATTGAAATATAAGATTTGCCTATAAAATACCGTTCATAAATGATCCTCAGATTTTGCAAAGACTTTCAGCTTTTTCTTGATACTCAAAAAAAGCCGAAAGACTTAAATTTATCTGACGATAACTAATGGGAATTTTGTCCAAGGTAAATAATAGCCATTTTTTTTTAATTTTGCCATAAACATTTTATTTTTCGGGTAAATATTAAATCCTCCATGAATCATATGGTTCGGGATCTATAATACGTCCACTAATTATAGGAATGAGAGTATCTTTCTGCAAAACCATGAATAAAAATGGACGATCAAGATAAAATGTATAAAGAGTTGAGTGTATGTCACCTGGTCCATTTTGTGGATGGGAGTAAACTGAAAGATTAAATTAAACAATTAAATTAAGGCAATAATTAATCACAGAGAAAGAAATGCTATGGTTGGGACCATGTGGCCCAACCATTTGTTTCTTTTCGTGGAAAATATGTTTTCATTTTGACCTACAAGTTGCTCCACTGAAAAATGTTCTTTCCTCGTCCATATTGAAAACAACTTTTTGAGTAATTTTGTCTAAACGTATTTTTCTCTCCTCGTCGAAGAATTCTGTGAAACTTGCGTAATCCTCAAAAATACTATAAATACCCATCTGTAAGTCATAACATTTCTTTTATTTATTGTAGTTTTTCCTTTTCGAAAAAATCTCTGAATTGTATTTCTTAATTTGATTCTTATTAACAATAATATATTAAATTAACATACAGTGGAACCTCAATTATCCGAATCAGGTCCTACCAGAATTATTTCGGATAATTAAGGTTACACTCTAATATAGTAAATTAATAATAGATTAAAATTAAATAAATTTAAAATTTACTTTCTGCAAAATATCTTTGAAGTTCAAATAACTTTCGACATTGATGAGAGGAATGCTCACTGAAACATCACGTAAATTTCCATAACTTAATAATCGTGTTATTGTAAATTTCTCAAGTTTTCTCTGTAATTCTTTGACTCCACTGATTTCGTTTGGTCGCATCAAGAGTAACGTTAATTCCCGACTCTGAAAAATAATTACAAAAAGTAAAATGAAATAAAAAAAAAAATATTCTTTTCTCTTATCTTAACTTACTTCATACGGTATTTCAATGAATGAAGCTTTCAATTCTGGAACTTCCCCATAATATAATTGTTTCATCATTCCACACATTGATTTCACTCTTCTTGCATTCGTTTCATCAGTAAAGAATGGTTGATTAATTAAAGACTTATTAAAGCTCTGCAAAAATTTCCCACGGAAATATATCACGTTTATCGACATCACTGATTCATCGGGATATATTTCTTCTGTAAGATTTAATATTTTATTTAATTTTCTATTTAAGAACTTAATTAATTTTTGAAAGCCATAAATTTTAACATCTTTTATTTATATTATTATTATTACTATTAGAATAATAATGTTAATAGTTCGTAATTAATAATGTTAATAATAGAAATAATAATAATAATTATTATTACAGTAATAATGTTAATAATAAAAAATAATAACAATAATGTTAATATTACCGGGTGTAATGAAAGTTTGAATCCTCTTTCGGGTGCGACCATAAGTGTATAAATTGATATCACCTGCAGCACTAATTGGATCTTCAAAATTTACGTGTCCAATTTCTGAATGAAAGTATTGAGCAATCAGACTTGAGTAAGATTCATTTATTACAGCATCCTTGTGTATGAATATTTTCGGACTGATAATTAAACTGCTCTCTTGATTTTCCTAAAATTATAACAGATTTTGAAACAACTATTTTTCTTATTATTATGATTATTAATTAGTAATAATATTATCATTATTATCATTATTATTGTTATTATTATTATTAGATTATATTATCGACATTATCGTCAAATCTATTTTGAAGAACATGTAAAAAAATAATATTTATTTATACATCATAAGAAGGTAATTTTAGAGGCATATTAATTTAAGAACCGCTAATAATTTTTGGTGCTATTATATAAATAAATGAGTCTATAAAAATTGGCTTTAAAATTTATGTGAAAATTAAAATAATATTATAATTTTTTAATTACTTACTTTTATTAAATTGAGCAAATTCTGATATCCATTGAGACTAACTGTTGGATCTGATGGCAGATGAAGAGATCTGTACAACTCTTCGGATGTTGATCCATCAGAACCAAAAGCTAGCATTGCCAGTGACAAATCAAGTCCCAAAGGAGAGGAAACATAATTAAATTTCTCTCTTTCCCCTAAATACTGCCAACAAATAAATTCTAAATTATATAAGAAATAATCTGAAAAAAAATTTTTTAATCTAAAAGAAACTAAGTCGTTTGCTATGAACAGCTAATTATTAACTGCTGTGGTAATTAATGACTCATAGTTTTTAATTAAGTTAAAATTAATGGAAGTGCTTATGAACAACAATTAAGAAAATAAAGAAATTTTCTTACCTTAGAAAATCGTGAGGAAAAATCGTTAATACTGTCTGAAATTATTCTTAGAGATGATTTATCTAAAGTATCAGCTTTGATGCAGATAACAAAAATGCCAATAGCTATTACTGTTTGAAAAGAAGTAAAAATTAATTTGGAACAAAATTTTAAATATTTGTTACTCTTGTACTTACGCAACTGCATTTTGTTAATCACTATAATTTTAAGGATAATTATTTTTAATTGAAAAATATTGATATAGTTAATTGTAATTTTCAGTTAAAATAACTTTCTAGCTATTTGTAATTTGTAGTTAAAAATAATTTTTAGCTAATTAATTTTCAATTTAGCTAACGGTTTTTCTGTTTTGAAAACAGCTAACGGTAATTTTTAGTTTAAAATAATTTTTAACCAACTGTAATTTTTATCTAAATGCAACTTTTGGGTAAAAATAATTTATTTTGAAAAAAATAGATGTTAAATTAAGATCTAAAAATAATATGAACGCGCAACTACGAATGTGATGCCGTTAGGGTTGTGTTGCACTATTTAAATACTTGGTTTTCTTTCTTCACTTCTTGTACTATAAGAATGGAGTGGGAAAAGAAGAGTGAGAAAAATGTTAATAAATTCTTTTCCTGTTGCTATCAATCAAAATTTTACAGACACAATTAATGTAATTTATACATTTATACTTTTATACATGTTACCAAAACTCTAACGAAAAACGTCCTTAACTTTTAAGAGTCACACAATTACTTTTTCGTATGGTTATTTCTTTTCTACTTGTTCAATTTTTAAAAATTATCAAAATGATAATTTTTTACCCATTTCTGTATTTTTGATTTGCAAATTTGTTCTATTTTGCTAATTTTTCCCCCATTTCTATATTTTTTTGACTTGTAAATTTTTTCTCTTAATTTTTTTTCATCTTTATTGCAAAGAAATATTTCTGTTAATTTTATCCATGTTGTTTATAACCTAATAAACCTACTTTAATTGCAAACAGATTTTTTTTCAAACTTAAATTTATGTAGATAAACAAATTCACATTTTTCTTTAAAAAAAATATTTCAAAATTGAAGCTTAAACAACAATTGCATAATATATGCGTTGAAAATTTGAAAAATTCTCTTTTTATGACGAGAAACAATTGAAATTTTCAGCGTGTACGAAGTAATTCTCATTCTTGACTTGTGCGTATGCGGAAAAAATATTTTCTAGTAATAGTAATGTATTTAAATTGTTGACAATACGTGATGGAATTGATCCATTAAGTACCAGTGAATGAACTTCTTGTACGAAATATTTAACTATTTGACATTCTGTTTTTTTTTCTCTAAAAAACAAAAAATTATTTCTCCGGACAAAAAATTTTTCTTCTTAATTTAATCATGTGGAACTTTTTTTTTGGTTAGAGAAAAAATACATTTTTAAGTAACTGAAAGAATTTTTCACAAATTCTTTATTTACATAATTTTTTTCCGTGCGTATGCAAGAAATTTTTTGGTGCGATGCTTTGTAAGATTCATAAATGTGAAGAAAAATTCACTTAGCAAGACGTTATTTAGGAAAACCGGTTGGGCACGAAAGCCATGAGCTGTTTGCTATATTATCAAGTACTCAAGTCTGCAAGGTCAGACTACAATTTATTTTGTGGACCATTTCTAAAATTGCATTTTATGTAAAAGTATTTCCTCTCATACTATTTTGGCATTAAAAGGTAATTGAGCATAAAAATTAAAATTGGGTGAAAAATTTCTTTAATTAAAATAAAATTACTCTTATTGTAAGTAGAGTGGTGCTAAAATAAGACAATTATAAATTAATTGGAAGATAAGAATTTTAAACATTTCAACCTAGAGTTTGGACCAAAAAGCGAGAATTTTTTATTGTGTTTCGGAGTTGGATATTTTACAGATGATGATGTCCCGGGTGATGTTACTGATGATTTACGGGGTCATTGTGTAGAAATTAATTAACTGAAATGATTTATTAAATTTAAATATACATTCTTAACAAATGGAAGATTTAAAATACAAAGTTTGCAATACTTAATTACTCCTCGTCGAATTGGAGAATAATTTATAAAGTAATAAGTGACTAGGGTTCGTGAAAGCAGAGCCTGTCTGCATACAACATATCTTTATGAAAGGCCTGTAATTTCTTTAGTAACATTGCGAACGCCTTACTTTATACATCTCGAAATTATTCCATTTCGTTACATTTAAATTTTCAATTAATTTGAATTTATTTAGTGGAACTTTGAATAATATTTTACCGGATCCTAGAAACGTAACATTAACAAAAAAAAAGAAAGAGAATAATAATGACGAAAACACAATTAGTTTTGGTGCAAATAGTGTTTTTCGTGACAATTGCCTTTGTTCAGGGTCGTCAAAATTATCACGTCATTTATCAATGGAATTTTATTGAACCCGAGTGGCCAAATCCGGAAACAGGCGAAAAATCATTAAACAATGGAAGTTACATACCAGAGAACAATATAATAACCGGCATTAAATTGTGGAGGGACCAACTCTATTTATCTGTTCCGCGACTAAAGTCTGGTGTTCCAGCGACATTGACAATGATATCATCAATTCCAGAACAAAGGCCCATTGAAACTGAAAGTGGTCTTCAAAATTTGAACATTGTGAGTCCAAAATTAAAACCATTTCCAAATTGGCGAATGCAACGATTGGGTGATTGTGAGGCTCTTCAATCAGTTCAGAGTATGGAAATTGATCCTATGGGTCGAATGTGGCTTATCGATAATGGAAGAACGGATATTTTTACCAACAAGGCAAATAATACTTGTCCACCGAGACTTGTTATTCTTGATCTTAATGCCGAAGGTACTTTATTGAAGAAGTACATTTTTCCGAAACATGTCGCGGATTATAATTCGGTTTTTCTGAATGATATTGTTCTCGATCATGAACACGGCGGTTTTGCCTACATTACCGATAGTGGATCCAAAGATCCTGGTCTTATTGTTTACTCATTGGCAACTAATTTATCGTGGAAAATTCGTCACGAGACAATGAAAAATAAAAATGATACAATGAATTTTAGCAACGGCATTGATGGTATTGCTCTATCACAATCGAGTAGATATGACAGAATGGTTTATTATTCATCAACTTTGTCATTAAATGTTTATTCAATACCAACAGGGGTGCTCAAAAGTGGACTAACTAATGTCAATGATTTTGTGAAACTAGTTATTCGTAAAAAGTCACCATCATCAGGAATGATAATGACATCATCTGGTAGATTAATTTACGGTTTATTGGCAAATAATTCTGTAGTGTATTTAAATAAATTTTCATCAAATCTACCACAATTTATTGTATCGGACTTAGTGGATAATAATGGTAATAATAATGAGGTGACAATTTTGGCACATGACGATAATATTCTTCAGTGGCCCGATAGTTTTGCTATTGATGACGATAATTATTTATGGTGTATTGCGAATAATTGGCAAAATTTTCTGTCTAATAATATTCATTTAAATTCGACAAATTTTAGAGTGATTAAATTTTTATTTAGAGGAAGAAATTATCAGTATTTTGATGATGGTAGTACTCCTATTGTGCCTCTGTCACAATTTTCTTCTTCCAGTAGTTCTTTGTATGGAATACCAGTATCGATTAGGTTAAATGATGGTACATTTCCGATTGTCAATGGAGATTTTTGAAATAAAAAAAATTTGATAATTCTACTTTATATTTTGTGTTTTAGTATTTTTGTTCCTTGTGTATAAAGAAGTATTTATATGCGAAAAACATGCAGGAATAAAATTGAGTTTTCTGAAGTAGAAAATTTTCTTTATTTTCAGTAGGAAAAGTTTTGTTAAAATAATTTATCTATAACATAAGTGTTTTGAAATTTATAATTATAGATTTGTTCAATATGGAATTTTCACAGAATCATTTTATTAAATTTGGGTGGTGAATTTTACAAAACGTTTTCGGTTCGTTTATGAGAATTTCAATTATTTTGTAATAATTTTTTTTTAATTATCATTTATGGTTATTATTGAATTTTTTCTCGTATTAATATAATGATATCTTTTGCAATTGTCAATGTTTGGAATGTTTATTATACCTAGTGGTATAGTTCGGAAAAAGTTGAATAAATGTGACGAATGCACATTAGTTACCTGACATGAAAGTGTTTTTTTCTATAATTAGAGTTTTGTAATGTATTCACAAAAACGAGTAATCTGAGATAAAAAAAAAGATTCCCTTTCATTTCCTTTAAGGAAGGAAAAAAATAAGATTTCTATAAGTTTTAAATTATTTGGTATACTTATAATTATTATTATTATTATAATCAATTATGGCATACATAATTGTAGACAATATAAATATAAATTTCGTAGATGTAATTGTGTATAAAATTAGGTTATTTCAAATTTTGTAGTTAAATTTCTTATGGTTAATAATAAATATATTTAGTGGAAAAATTTTGTCAATACTTAGGGATTATAGACTCTTCCATTAAAAAGGCACAAAATGTCATCTTTTCCTTTTTTCACAACTGTGAACATAAACGGTCTGTTTATCTCAATCGTAAGTGGTTTTGTATATGGAAGAGCAGTTGCAAATACAGGATGCCCTCCCACGTCTGTTTAAAGAAGAAAATACAAAAAAAAATATTCATAAGAAAATTGTCTACTATGGAACAATTTTAAAAAGAAATTTTGATTGATTAAAAATTATTAAGGAACTTACTGTTTGATACTTCAGCATTTATACCATTTTCGTTTAATGAAAAATGTGTCCTAACGTAAATTTCATCAAGTCTTAATGGTTTTTTGGAAATTCCGATGAAATCGGCTTTCTCACTGAATGCATCGGTTATACCCATCTGTAAAAAATTATTGTTTTAGATTTATTTCTTTTTAATAAAAAATGATTCAATGTGTGTACGAATATAATTAGGTAAATAAGAGAAAGATTGAAAAGTATTTTTGAAAATTTTTATAATTAGAGGCGTAGAATATATTATATTATTAATTTTCAAAGTACCTCAGTCAATGTTAACTTTAGACGCTGTTCATTTTGAATAGTAAATTTAGGCAAATAAAGTTCAATATCTTCTTCTCTACTATTAAAAATGGCACGAATATCAAGTGTGTCCAAACGTTGCTCTAATTCAACTAATTTATACGAATTCAATGGATAATAAATTAACATACTGTATTCTCTGTTCTGAAAATAGAAATTTAAATATTAAAATTAGCTTTCGAATTTGGTTCTTTTTTCGTTCAGATGTTCCTGATTTGATATTAGCATATGTTGTAAATATTGTTTCAACACTAACCTTGTAAGGAATTTCAATAATTCTAAAACTATCCAGATAGCGATTAGTTGGTGGAACAACAATACCGCGAAATCGTCCGCGAGTAAACATTGTTGACACTAATTTTTCACTGTTTCGACTTCGACAAAAAGGTCTCTGTTCTGTGTATCGTTCATTGAACGGATATAGAAATTGGGCACTAAATTGAATCGAGTTTCGAATAAACATGTCCGAATGTTGAGGCAAAAATGTATCGGATTCTGCAAAATGAGAGAAAATTAGTATTTGTTATTTTTGGGAATTTTTATACAAATTGAGTTTTAAAGACAAGAACAACAAACGAAATTTATTTTGATCTAAAATTCTGATTTGTCATGATCATAATAAATCTGTTCGAGCAACAAAAAAATATGTATGATTAAAAAAGTGTTTTTTTTTTTGTAGTACGCATTACCATAAGGCAAATCTCTTTTCAAGTTTCTTTCTGCAAAATATTTATTAATAACCGAAATCGCTTCCTCTGGTTGATCAAAATTTAATGATTCTTGTTGAGTTATAAATGTGGTGTTTGATAATTCTTTGAAAATTGGAACTATGTCTACTTTATCAGGTATATAAAGTACTTGGATAAAATTAAAAGATGCATCCTCCTGCAATTAAAATATTTAGAAATGCATTTATGTGAAAAATAATATTTTTATTTTCAATACTCACAGTGAGTGATTTAGTGAGAGTCTTATGATTCGATAAATCATTGGAATTAATATTTAAAACTTCGTGAATTTGTTTTGCAGTATTTCCACCAGATCCGTAAAATAATAATGACAAAGAATCGTAGGCACTGAATGGTGCAAGTGCAATGTTTCCTATAAACTTTCTCGCAATTGTCTAAAACAAAATTATTTATTAAAAATAATAAAAACTTTTATTTACAATTTTTTAAAATTTGATTTTAATCCTTTAAAATTTTTTTTTTTAATTTGTTTTTAAGGAAGAATCTGACGGACATTCAAAAGAAAAGTTAGTCCAATGTCCAATTTTCACCATTTTCAAGAATTAAAAGTTGCATTTGAATAAAAATTATTTTTTATCAATAAGAAATATTTGTTAAATTTTAGATTGTTTCCTAAATCATTTTCTATTGATAGAAAATTTGTAATTTTTATTCAAATTCAATTATAATTTACTTAAAGTGTTGAAAATTAAATTCTTTACGCTTCTATCAAAACGAATTTAAAATTAAATTTGTCTTTTTCTTTTAAAATACAAAATTATGACATTGGAGTAACATTTGTCTAGGCTGTGATTTGATTTTAATTAAAATATGCAGTTAATTTGCAAGTTAATTTGCAGTTAATTAAAATTTGTGATTAATTTGATTTTATGTAAAATTTGAGATTGATTTAATTTTAATTAAAGGTTGTGATAATTTGATTTTTATTAAAATTTATGATTAATTTGATTTTTATTTAAATTATTCAAACTATTCAATTATAATGATTAATTATAAGTGATTAATTTAAATTTAATTAAACTTTTCAATTAATAAATAAAAGATGTGATCTAAAAAAAAATATGTTGATTGAATATTATTGTTGCTAATTATCTTGTTTTGTGTTAAGAAAAAAATCTCGATAATTTTAATGAATTGAAATTGTTAATTTACTTACTTTATAAAGTCGAAATGCAAAATTACAACATTTTTCAAAAGGTTGTAAATTATCCTCTTCTTTTCCATTTGATGTTAACTTGATTGATTGAACCAAACACAGACACACAGCGATTAATAACACTAAAATGTAAATTATTTAATTGATGATTTGTGAGAAAATATTTTTTAAATTTCATTCTTGTTGAAATTTTTAGATAATTTATAGAAACTGAAAAGTTAAAAATTTATTGTGTTTATTGTTTCTGAAATACTCACGTTGAATTCGCATTTTCTTATTTTTTATTAGCGGAATAATATTCGAAATGATAGAAAATAATTTCAAATGAGTTTGAGATGAGTTTGTAAGGAAGCTTCTAAAATCGTTATTTCAAATAGTTTTCTGAAGCAAGTTTTCGTTTGCAGTTGAACTAGTTTAGTTTGTTCGGAAGAGGATGATTTTTTTTCAATTTTCAACCGGTTTTACCATCGGTTTGTAAAATACAAGTCCTTCGTGATTTTTTATTTAATGCAAACTTGAAATTGCATATCAAATTCCTCATGTACAACATGTATTTTAATGAAATTTGTATAAATATTTTTAAAAGTTCATTTCATTTCTAGAATACGTTTTTATTAGAATAAAGTATTATTTAATCGATTTAAATCAATTAGACAATTAGTTGAATATTAAATAACTTTGTTTTAAATTAAGGGACTAGAAATTTATCAAAAAATAGTTCTTTTATTTTATTAAAAAGATACATTACATTATACAAAAGATAATATTAATAAAACGGTTTGAACAAAAAGAAAAAATTAGTTTTTAAAAAAATATATATTTTTTCACCCCGAAAAAGTTCATTTTTACTTAAAGTCTATAGTAAACTTTTTATATAATATAAATAAATTTTATTCAGTTCCAATATTCATAACTATTTAAATATCTATATAAATAACTCAAATAAATTATGTATATTTGATTTAAATCATTTAATTAATGATTCGTAAAAAATGTTTTTTAAATTTAATTCTTGTTGAAATTCAAATTGTATATTCAATATCTTAAACCTATTAATTACTGTAGCATCTAAAAGTCCTTAAAACGAAATTAATAAATCTCATTTTTGTACTCTTTCTTTTTTGTCCCTGTTTTTCCTTTATTTTCGATGCTTAAAACTTTCGTTAAGATTGATCCAAGCAAATTCATATCGATTTTTAGAAAATATTAAAAATTCTTTTCCTATATTTATTTATAGAATGAAAATGTTTATTCCATTTTCTGCTCCCTTTTGAATGTCCTGCAAGTATAATGTTATTTTATAACAATTATGTCGATTCTTATTATAAAAAAAAATTTATTTCAAAAAGGAAACAGTTTTCTTACTTTTTTGACCTGATTTCTTTCTTGCCTTCTAAAAGTAATTTTTCGAGATTCGTGAATGGTTTTTCTATTATTATCACCAATAGTAATGCTACAAATGATATGTAGATAATATCTCCAATAAAATGTTTAATCTGTGAATAGAAATAATTTTTCAAAATTTTTAATTTTATATACCCTAGTGGAAAAATGTATTCTTTAATTAAAAATATCAGTTTTGTTTCTATATTTATAAATAATAGATCTATTATAGAGAATACGAATAAATTAATATTATATTCTAAAATACGATTTATTCTAGAACAATTTTTTTTAATAGTAAATTCTTACCGAATTATAAGACGAATAAGTGTATACTGTTCTTGCAGTTCCAAATTCATAAGATTGAATTGCAAAATGACAGAGAAATGTTGCATAAGAAAGTTTGGAGAATGGTTGAATCCATCTGGGTGTTAATAATTTGTAATAAAAATCTAGAAGAATAATTTTTGAAAGTAACATTAATAGAAAATCAATTATAATCAGCTGGTTTGCTAATTTGAAATTAAGATTAAATTATTTCTTTTTCTTTTGCATTATGCACACTTGGAGAAGAAAATAAATTTGTCTCAGATCCACATGAATATTTATTGCTTTCAAAAAAAAATGTATTTGATTTCGAATAACGTTTTTTTTGAGAAAAATGAATATTCATCTTGATCTGAGACAAATATAACTTAAATAAATTATTATAGTTTATTATAATATTAAAATAATTTTTTATTTGTTCAAATAAAAAATTAATTTTATTTATTCAAATAAAAAATTATTTTTATTTCTTGATTTGTAATATAATTTCTTTTTATTTTAAACATTAAAATAATGTAATTGTTACCCAAGCCTTGGCCAATTGTAATTAAAAGAAGAATAGAGCAGACACTAAAGGCAAAAATTGGCCTGTGAAGACATGCATAAAGAGCTTTAATAAATAAATTTGGTTGTACATTTTCATCGCAGAAAAACGATCCTAACCATTGAAATAGTAGTGGCAAAATCACTACTTGTAAAATGAATAGAAAATGTGACCAGAACTGAAAAACATTTATTAAGTTTAAGTTAGTAAATTTTTGTACTAAGTAATTGTAAACTAATTTAAATATTTAAAACTAGAAAAATAAATTTTTTTAAATTAAATTAAAGAATTATGAGAAATTTTTAATTTAGAACAATACCTTTGAAAGACGCCAAACTACTGATTTACAATCGTACATAACAATACCCATAGTTAATCCAACAATATATGCCGACAATCGCATATGAGTTTTTATATAATAGTTCATAATGTAGTTATTTGTTTGTAAACTATCTCTGTAAACAAAATTGTTTGTTTTTTTTATTATTTTTCATATAAACATTTTTTTTTCTATTTTACATATTTTTGTTTTATTTATTTATTTATATATATTTATTGATTCATTTATTTATAAGAATTAATGGGTCAAATTTATTTAAAATATTTTTTTAAAAATATTTTCTAAAAACTTATAAGAAAATGTTTTACCTTAAGTTAAGTTTTATAAATGGATCAATATCATTGTTATAAGTAATATAGAATGGAATTGCAGCTGACAAAATTAAAAAGCATCCAAGAAAAATGTAACCAATTTTACGTTGCATTTTGTTAAATGCTCCAATTAATAATAAACCAATTATATAACATTGAAATTCGACAGCCAAATACCAAGATGGACCGACACACTATATAGGATAAAAGAAAAATTAAAGAAATGATTATTTTTGATATTTTTAAAAAAAAATTATAATAATTTAATATTATTAAAGTTTAATATTATTAGTTTAATATTATTTATTTATAATATTATTTTCATTGATTGTACCATATTTTTTGCATCAATATAATTGTGAATAAAAAATATATTTTTCCACCAATTAGAGGAACAAGCATCACGATCAAAACCAATTCTACTTTTCCAATAAGGTCCAGATCCTAAATGATGAATTAAAAATGCGTAAGCAAATGTTATAAACATATACAACGGTGTTAATCTGAAATTAAGTAAAATGCATTTATTAATTGAGTGTATTTTTTATCATTCCCACATAGCACCATAGTATGAGGTAAGGTTATGTTGAGTACTAATCGTAAGGCACATAAGGTTACACAATATTGCTGCGGTAGACCTGAGGTGAACTAAAAACTTCCGCCATGGAGGTAAGGTTACATGTTAGGGTGTGGTGAGTATATATGATAAGGCCATGGTAACCTTACACGTTAAGGTTAAGGTAACCTTACACGTTAAGGTTGAGGTAACGTTACATGTTAAGGTTGAGGTAAGGTTACATGTCAAGGTTGAGGTAAGGTAATTATTAAGTTGTAAGGTTGAGGTAAGGTTAAGGTAAGGTTGTGATAAATTTACCAGTTATGGAAAATATTGAAAAAATAATTAATAAATAAATATTCAATTAAAAAGTTAGTTTGTTGCTCTTCTCTATTTTGGAAACCTGACATGAAGCAGAAAATTTTGAAAACAAATTTGGGGGGGAATGGGATTCGAACCCGGGATCGACGCGCATAAACCTATCATTCTAACTAACTGAGCTAAGTAGAGAACTGGCAGAAGGAAAATTAATGATGCCTTTAAGGTGAACCAAGAAGATGATTAACTCCTTAAAGGCAATATTAATTTTCCTTCTACCAGTTCTCTACTTAGCTCAGTTAGTTAGAATGATAGGTTTATGCGCGTCGATCCCGGGTTCAAATCCCAGTCCCCCCAAATTTGTTTTCAAAATTTTCTGCTTCATGTCAGGTTTCCAAAATAGAGAGGAGCAACAAACTAACTTTTTAATTGAATATTTATTTATTAATTATTTTTTCAATATTTTCCATAACTGGTAAATTTATCACAACCTTACCTTAACCTTACCTCAACCTTACAACTTAATAATTACCTTACCTCAACCTTGACATGTAACCTTACCTCAACCTTAACATGTAACGTTACCTCAACCTTAACGTGTAAGGTTACATCAACCTTAACGTGTAAGGTTACCTTAACCTTAACGTGTAAGGTTACCATGGCCTTATCATATATACTCACCACACCCTAACATGTAACCTTACCTCCATGGCGGAAGTTTTTAGTTCACCTCAGGTCTACCGCAGCAATATTGTGTAACCTTATGTGCCTTACGATTAGTACTCAACATAACCTTACCTCATACTATTGTGCTATGTGGGTTATTATTTTTTCAATCATTTTTATTATATGTTTTAAAAATTTGTTTTATAAAAAAATAAGTTAATATCTGCAATATTAAAATAAACACGGAAAAAAGATTTACCTAGAATAGCGAAAGTTTTAACTGAGATAACTAAAAGTTTTTCTAATATATTAAAATTTGTAGCTATTCCAAGTAAATAAGTCTTTTTTCCTAAAAAATTTAAAAAAATAATATTTAAATTAAAAAGAATTATTAAAGGTATTCGCAAACCTTATAAATCTTTTGAAAATAAGAGAAAAAATTTTCAATCCATTTGAATTTTCTAAATATTCCAATAAATAATAAGAGAGAACAATTCCTGATAATGCAAAAAATCCATCTACTGTAATATCAATATTATATATTAAGCCTAAAAATGGTTTTCCCGAGGCCTGAAAAAATTTTTAATTTCCTTTTATTATTTTGAATTTTTTTTCAATTTATTTTCATTCAATTCATAATTGAATGATAATTATTTTTTTTTTTTTTTTGAAGAAATAATTCTTTGGAATTTAGTTTTTCATTAAGGTTTCTCATTTTGAGATATTTTGAAAAACTATGAATAAAATTAATTACTCACTTCTTCGTAACGTGATCCAGTTATATTTCCTCCAAACATTAGTTCTATATTTCTATGTCCAAAAATTGTAATACTTGCAAAAATACATCGAATTAAATGTAGACAATCGAAGGCATTGTTATTATACTTTACTTTGAATATTGCATTAAAACTTCTCTTTGCAGAAAAACAGGCTAATAATTTTCTTGAGAAACAACAATCATTTTCTTGTTGAATAAATTTTATATCCAAAATTGTACTTATTACCACCAATAGAATTATTGTACAGAGAATAAAACTGTAATTTTAAAAAATTACGAAATAACTTTTAAAAAATTCTTAAAATGTTCTTGAGAAATATATTTGAAATATTCTTTAAAACCTCTTGAAAAATTCCACAATAATGTTTCTAAATTATTTCAAAAGAATATTTCTAAAATATTCCTGAAAAATATTCTTAAAAATATATTTTAAGTTCTGTTTTATATGGTATTCGCTGACTTTTATTGAACTTAATTAATTTTGTTTGTTGTTTAATTATAATTATATGATATTTAATAATTAATATAAGTATTAATTTCTATTTATTAATAATACTGAATAGAAAATAAATAAAATAAATTTTAAACTACATACCAATAGGCCTTATCGTAATTAGAGAATTTAGAAATCTCGTGATTTGCATGACAATATTCAGGACGAATTGTTGCCTGAATTTTTAGATTGTATTCTTCATTGAACTTTTTTAAGGGCTCTTTCAAAGCGGCAATAATATCATTCGTGCGACATTTTGCAGGAAAACACAATGCTATTTGCAAAACGTTCCTTTCATAACGTCCAACATTTAATGTTTCCTAAATTTTATAAACAAATAACCAATTATTTTTATATCAAATTATAAAAATATCTTATACCCATGAAAAAGGATTTTGTTAATTTTAAGAAATCTGTTTCTAAAAGTCGTTTTGTTTCATTCAAAATAAATTTTTCTTTCAAACAAAAAGACAGTTTTTGATTAAAAGAAAATTTATTCTTCAAAATATATTTCAAAGAAATTTTTCTTTTTAAATTAAAGAATTATTTCTTTAAATCTATGTTATGAATTCTTTCTGTAACATACAGTTAAAGAAATAATTCTTTAATTTAAAAAAGGAAAATTTCTTTGAAATAAATAAATTTTAAGAATAAATTTTTCTTTAAAGAAAATTTATTTGTTTCAAAGAAATTTTCTTTTTTAAATTAATGAATTACTTTTTTAACTCTAAGTTAAAGAAATAATTCTTTACCTTAAAAAGGAAATTTTTGTTAACTTATAGAGTTTAAGAAATAATTCTTTAATTTAAAAAGAAAAATTTCTTTGAAACAAATAAATTTTCTTTGAATCAAAGAAAAATTAATTTTTAATCGAAGAAACAAGTTGAATAGCAAATAATTTCTTTAAATAAACAAGTAATACTTTTTTCTGACTCTATATAATATTAACATTTACTTGTACTGCTTCCCAAGCTGATGCTTGAGAATCGAATGCAAAATTATTTTTTCTTCCAGTAAAATTTGTTGTTTCAGTATTTTTTTGATACTTTATGTCCACCAAACAATATTTACTGCGAATTTTCTCAAATTTATCATTCTTCTCGTTCCAGACAATTGTTTCAATTCGATTGCATTGATCGAAGCTTCCCAAGTATCGATTAAGGCCATCAAATATCCCATAAGGATATTTGGCTGACGAATCAAACACTTAAAAAAGATATCTTCTTTTTAATACCTTATAAAAAACAATCTATATGAGCTATTAATAAATGAATTATTTAATAAATTTTCACAAATAAAATTTTTACTCTTTTATTATTTATAATAGTAACATTAGTAATTATTATAACAATATCAATAAAAATTAAGACAATAAGAATAGTAAAAAAATAATATATATATTTGGTTAGCTACCTATTTTTGGATTAAAAAAATTTTTTCTCAGTGTAATTTAAAAATAATGTATTAATAATTAATTTTTAAAATAATAATTATTAAAATAATTAATTAATAATTAATTTTTAAAATAATAATTCACTTAAATTAAATAATATACATTAAATACATTTTTTTATAATTCTTACTTTCGACAGCCCATAATGTCCCATTTTTTAAATGATTTAAATATAAATGTAATTGCCTTTTGCATGGACCATCAGGAATTGAATTTGATGTGGCAATCGCTATTGGCAAAAGTGGAATATTTGAGAACCAATCAGATTCCTTCAATTGTTCATTATCAATAAAATTCTCTTTTTTCAAATTCAATTTATTTACTGATTCACTTGTATTATGATAATTTTGATTAAAAACATTATTATTTTCTATTTGAATTTGAGTTTTTTGAAAAGTAACTTCTTCACATGACACTGGATAAATATGACAGTTACAAATCAACAATAAGAAAAATTGAACTTTTAAATAAATTTGAAAAATTCTTAGAATCATTATTTAATGTAAATTTTTAAAAACTTGTTTTTTATGATTTTTATATTTAATATTGTAAAATGTTTATATTTTTTTAACACTTTAAGCACTATTAGTGTTTTCCACTTGACAGTTAAACTTGATGTGTTAAATTTGAAGGATTTGTCGGGACTTTTAAATAACACACGGGGAAATGACATCAATGATCTCTAGCTGATTATTATTTGAATTTCATCTGTTACATTGTACATAATTTGTATTAAAGTGAACTATTTCATATTTTTTTGTTTCCTTTTTATTAAGAAAAAGAAGAAAATTATAAATTCTTTGAGAATTTAAAATTTAAATTTATTAAAAATTTTTTAATTATTAAAAAAGTGAGTTAAACAATTTATTCATAAACGTGAGAGAAATATTGTAATTTTTAGTTTTATAGTTCAATATACAATTTTAGATAATTTACTTAAAATTATTGTTAACTTCTTCCACCTTTAACTTAGATAATTTACATTTTACAAAATGTTATAATTTTTTTGACTTGAATTAAAAATTTCATTTTTTACTTTTAATGTTTTAATTATGTAAAATTATATAAAATGTCGAAGAAAATAAGTTTGAACATTTTTTGTACCTTTTTCATTTTAAACATAAGAAATTAATTATAGCATTACTAATTACTCTATCAAAAATTTAAAAAAAAATTGATACATTATATATTTATTTACTTTTTTCAAATATTAAAACATTTTTAATGTTTTCTTATTAAAACATTTAAAAAAAAATAATTACCTATATTAAATTGTGTTTTTTTAAAAGTTTCTGTTAATTATTAATAATAATTATTATTATTCAAAATCATTAAATAAATAATAATGAAATATCAGTTTTTTTCAATTTTAAATAAAATTTAAATATTCCCGCCTGTTTATTCGGGAACGTTCGAGAACTCCGAAATATGTTTCGGTGATTTTCGTTGAAATTCGGTTAATAGTCGAAGTTAGTCGATTAGCGATTTTGGATTAAATTCTGATAAATTCTGCACGTGTTTTCATCCAAAAATCCCAAAAACTGACAAGCGTTTCGTTTAAGTTTTCTACTAGTAAAAAAAGTGTTAAACTATTTATAACAAATATGAAAGTGAAAAAAATAAGGCCAGAATCCAAGTCAAGTCTTAAGACTGCAGTGAAGAATGTACAAAATATTTTAAAGGCAAGTATATTGTTACGTTATCAAAACATAACCTGAAAATATTTTCAAAATTTTATTTTCATCTTTTCTGGTTTATTTTTCATTAAATATAGAATTGATAGCTTAATAATAGAATAGTTTATTATTTACTGTCTACTGTACAGTAATAAAATTAATATACGAATTATTGAATTAAAGTTGTAAGTACGTGTATTTTGTTATGAATGAAAATGATGATCATAAATTTAACCATTGTTTTTACAGAAAACTACGAAAAAGAGTAAAAAATTAACTGAAAAAGATGATACCCTTGAGACTCCAAAAAAAGAAATAAATGATTCAACAGAAAAATTGCCAGAAGTGGAACTCCAGTACAATTCTAAGGCAGGCGTTATTTATATAGGACAAATTCCTCATGGATTTTATGAGGATGAAATGAAAGGTTTCTTTTCACAATTTGGAAATGTTCGCCGAGTTCGGCTTGTTCGATCAAAGAAGGTACTTATTATTCTATTTTTATTGTAAAATAAAGTCCCTTTTAGTTTGTCCTCTTTTTTAATAAAATATTTCTAAAAAAACGTAAAAATTTTTCGTCTCTCAGACAGGAAAGAGTCGAGGATACGGTTATGTAGAATTTCAAACTCCTGAAGTCGCAAAAATAGCAGCAGAAACAATGAATAATTATGTTATGTGCGGTAGATTGTTACGAGGTAAAATTGAAATTAACTTATATTTTTAGAAAATAGAAATAAATGTTTGTACAAAATGTAATTTTAATTTAAAATATTGAAGATATGTTTAATTTTATATAAATAATATTTGCTTAATTTTTTTCAGTGTCTTACATACCTCCCGAGAGACAACATTTTGGCTTCTTTTTCGGAAAGAAAATTACACCAACTTCATATCCCCGATTGGAGAACAGAAATAAAGTGATAAAATTGAATCGTGCGCCAATCACCGAAACGAAACAGAAAAAACGTGTAAAAACATCATTAAGAAAACTTTCTGTCTTAGAAAAGAAACTCAAAGACAAGGGTATTAATTTCACATTCAAACCAGTTGATCTTCCAAAAAGTAAATAGGTATTATTTAATCTCTATGTAAATATAGTTTATCGAGTTGACAATTTTTTTTCGATCATAAATTAACTTTTTTTTCTTTATTACAAAAGAAGTGAAACAAAAATGAAAGTAAATATTTGTCAATATTTCAAGAATGTAATATTTTCGCATTAAAATTTATGTGCGTAAGGATAAATGACATTAAACGAATAAATCATGTTTTTATATATCGAATTTTTTTTAACTTAAAAGTATAAATTACAACTAATATTCACAATATATTTTTTTAATTTTCATTTTATAATGATGTTGATACTTCTGACGTTATCTTCGTTCTCTTCCATTTCATACGACGATTTTGAAACCAAACTTTTACCTGAAATTATTTGCAAGAAAAAAATAACATTAGGTTTATGAAGATTTAGAAAAAGGAAATTTAATTTAATTCTAATTAAAAAAGTATAAGAAATTAAGAGTTTACCTGTCTTTCCGAAAGATCTAAAGCTACGGCAATTTCGTAACGTCGAAGTCGTGTCAAATAATTGCTGTGAGCAAATTCTGATTCCAAGTGTCGGACTTGTTGCTTTGTGAAAGCTGTTCTTTCTTTTCGGAGCTTCTCATTACCGGTGCGCTTCGATTTTTCTGAAAAATATGAAATTGTTATGTTTCAATTTTTATTGAATTTAATCCATGAGAAAATTTCCCATTCAATGAATTTGTCTTTTGAGGGAATTTCTGTTTATCCGAATTATCTCATGAATAATTCTTTTGACTGATAATTCGGAAATCGATGCAAACAAGAATTATTCTGAAAAGATTTATAATTTTAAAAGAATTATTCTTGTTTAAATTATTAATTCTTGTTAAAAACGAAAATTATTCTTGTTTAAATAGATTTTTTATTTTGTTTGTATTTTATTCTTCAGTTGATTATTTTTTTCTTATTGAACTTCTATTGAAACGAATTTTTATATAATATTTAATTATTTATTTCAGTTTTCGTTTGATAAAATTTTTGCTAAGTAAAATTTTTAAAGGACAAAATTTAAAAGGAAAGAAGTAAAAATTCTTGTGAGAATAAAAATTTTGTGATTTAAAAATGATGCTACGTAGAAATTGTAATATAGCAAAATTTTATTGAATGGGAAAATTGATGAAAGCGAGAAGCGTTTAAATTTAGATGAGAGTTGAAGATTTATTGATTTAAGTTAATGAAAGAATGATAATTTATAATTTGTGGGCACTCTTGTCTGGAGTTTAAGATATGCGATTTTTGATGAATATTCGTCTTATTAGACAAGGTCAAGAAATATGTTGAGAGCCTTGATGAAAGGAAAACAGATTGTGGAAGAGTTGGGAAAAGTTTTTGTTGTAAGTGCGGTCAGATGAAAATAGCTGTATATTTAATGCGTCAGCGACCTTATATCGCAGATCCAGCAGCTCGCGGTGTTGATACGCAACATTTGAAATGTGGGTTGGTTGGAAGTTTTGCATCTTTGAAGATAGTATTGCTATCATTGCGAATAAAATAATGTTACCCGTGACGTCACGGACGAAAATTCATATTATATACTCAAAGAACGTCTTCATCACATTTCGATAAATAAGTTTTCAACTTATACGCTTTCCGCGAAATTCATCTCAATTTTCTATATTCGCTTTTGATACTCATTCATCATTAAGGAGATATATCGCGTAATCTTCAGTTGATAGGCGAAATTGGTTTCGAAAAAAGTTTCTTCTGACGCGAGTCCTGATTTTTGACACTAAATTCTGTCAAAAGATATTTTTTGATAATTTTTAATTCTTTTTTTAAAACTTCTTTTACAAAATTTTCGAAATATTGAAAATTCTGTTTCCTTTTCTGAAATATTTAAAATATCCGACAAAAAATATTCCTCTTATAGGTTTGAGAAGATTTAATTTTTTTTCTACGGAAAGTTATTTTGAAAACGAAAAATATTCTATTGGGAAATATTTATGTAATTAACAATAGCTAACAAGAATGATAAGAACAATTACGAATTTTTGAAAAAAGGAAATATTTCTATAGAAAATTTCTTTAATATTCAATAAGAATTATTTAACAATTATTCAATTATTAGTTTATAATTATAATTTTTAATTTCTAATTGTGTTTATAATTATAATAATAATTATATTTATAACTAAATTAACAATTGTTAAAAATTTTCAATTGTTTTATTAACTGGAGTGTCATCGAAATATTCAATACTTCATTGGTGCGTTGAATTTATTTGTTTTTTGTTTAGTTTTCGAAAATTTGGATTAATTCGAAAATACGTAAATGCTGAAGACTATTTTCAGTTTGATGCTTGCCAAAAGAAATAGGAAGGAATTGTTTCGAGTTGAAAAGTCGACGATCATTATGTAATGGCTGATTCATTTGAATAGACAGTACAATGTGATATAAATGATTGTTAGATAAATATTTAGACTGCCAGGGGTTCGTTATGGTCACATTGGCGACAGTAAAGCAATAAATGAGACAATTGCTAATGAATTGTCAACTAATTTTTTTTTATTGTTTCACTGCATAAAAAATAATAGTCTCAGTCTATACAAAACTTCTTTGGATCATTTTCCTTTTTATTCTATTTTCAAAAAAAGAAATTCAACTTTTGGAAAAGAATTATTTTTTTTCAAAAATTTATTTTTTAATAAATCAGTAAAATTAACTATTTTTCACTCCTGGTGATTAAAAATTTCTAAAAATATATTTTTTTGTTATTGAAAGCAAACTTCAATATAAGTTGAAAAAAAGAAAAAAAAGAACATTACAAATATTTATTAATTTTTAATTATTGAAATCTCTTACCATAATCTGATTTTATAATTTCAGTTTGACATTTTTCTTCTTTGTACTGGAATTTCGAGAATTCGGCAATTGTCTCTTGAAGTGACCGGTATTTCAATTCACTGTCAGTCGCAAGCTGTGGCGTTTCTTGAGGATATGAGGTTTCCCAGGTGCGAAATATCGTTGGCGGAGAATGAATTTTTTCTTGAAATTGATTTTGCATCTCTGGATAAATTGTTGTTAATATTTCGCGATTTCCCTTTAAACATTCCATGTGAGTGACATTTTCCAATTCTGGCTGGAAATGTTGGGCCCATCTTTCGAAAATAATAATAATGCAAATTTAATTTTTGTTGCAGTTAATCAGAAATTATTTCTATAAAATGTCTTTACAATTTGAATCTAAGGTGGATTGAACTGAATAATAATTTTCTCTACTAGACAATTTGTTCTTTAAAAATTCAGAATATAAATTCTGATAAATCAAAACTTCGTTAAATAGAAATTCTGTTAAATTTTAATTTAACCAGAGTGTGAAATTCTATTAAATAAAAGTTTTTTATAATGGAAATTCTATTAAATAAAAATAAATATTAATAATTATTATCGAGCAAAAAAATTAAATAGTAATTGAAAATAATATTGATCAGAGTGAGAATTCTGTTAAATAAAAATTTTGTTTAATGGAAATTTTATTGAATAATATCAAATATTAATAAATTATTATTAATCAAAAAATATATAATAATAAATTAAAATAATAATAATAATATTGACTAGAGTGAGAATTATATTAAATAAAAAATTTTTTTAATTGAAATTCTACTACATCAAATTATTATTTTTATTATTATTTAAAAGAATTAAATAATAATAGATTAAAATAATAATATTGACCAGAGTGAGAATTCTGTTAAATAAAAATTTTGTTTTTTGAAAATTTTATTAAATAGAATCATATGATTATTATTGTTATTAATAATTATTATTATTAATAATTGTTACTATTATTATCATTAATTAATTTATTATTATTATTATTATTGTTATTATTCAATAAAATTAATTCATTTCTTTAAATCGAAATTTTGCGAAATGAAAAATTCGGTTAAAGCAAAATTCTAATGAATAGAAAATCTTGGACAAAAAATAAAAATTCGTAATTTATGGAATTTTGAAAAAATTATTTGAATAATTAATATAATGATACCTGTGTCGATGATGATTCTCGTTGAAATTATTAGCATGCTGATTATTCTCTGTCCATCGGGATGTGTAAATTTCGCGAACCACTTCGTGTTGAAAAGTCTCGACACTCGAAATGGAATTTAAATTCGCATCCCAAGTTGATTTATAATTAAATGGAAATTCATTGTTCGAATGTAATCGGACATTTTCGTTGTCTATATGGCAAGGTGGTGGTGTTGGTGGAAATCCAAAATAATTTTCCATTCTTGAAGTTGAAATATTAGATCCTTGATATAGATCCATTATCGAGAGAATAGAATCTCAAAACCTATTTTTTTCTATTCAATATAGCGCAGGGTGAATTTTAAGAAATCATTTACTTCTTTTAATTTATATTAATTTATTTAATTTATTTATTTTATATGCAAATTTTATATATATTATTTCTAAGTGAGGTCTTTGGTCTTAGTGAAGTAATTAAAATACAATTATTGTTATTGAAACAATTATTGCTTTTTTTTTTTGAAAGTGTAAATTTTTTTTATTTGTAAATTTGAAAATGTTGAGTAATTACTGAATGAATGCGATTAATTCGGAGTTTTTTTATTTTTGTTTTGACTTCTGTATGAAAGTGATATGCAACTCATGAAAATTGTCTTGATACTAACGTCTAAATGTCAAACACGCACATGTGAGATTGCTACTAAAGATCTGATCTGACTGCAGATTGCAGAAAAGAAACAGAGGTTCAGGGGTTGATGATACAAAGAACTGTGAAAAATGGAGGAGTAGGGTACGGAAGTCCTCCTAATCTCAAACTACCAATCAGATTTTTTTTTTCAAAAAAAAGTCCTCCTAATCTCAAATTGCACCAATCAGATTGTTTTTCTTTAAAAAACAAATTTTTTTTAAAAGTATTTTAAAGACAGTAGAAAACTTTTTTTTTTGTAAATTAAATGAACATGTACAGAATTATGATAATTAATTAATTTATTTATGACAATAAATAAAATTAATAAACATTTTTTTAGAAAAAAGTGAATTTTAAAAATATTACATCAACAATAACTGTAAATAAAATTAAGAAGAATTTTTTTAAGCAGTGAATTTTAAAAAACTGTATTAAATTAAATTTATAATAATGTAATAATTATTTATAATAATAATACTTAATCACAATAAATAAAATTTAAAAGAATTGGAAATAAAAAAGAAAATCATGTAAAATATATTTTTTAGTTTGTGAAAAAATGTTATTTACTTGATTGGGCATAAAGAAAAATAAGTTTAGTATCAATGTTTATTTAACTACTTATTCTTTGCTACTAAAATTTATTTTTGTATAAATTTTGACTCGGATAATAATTAATAAAATATTTACTACTATATAAGCTAAATATTTCAGAAGTATTATTAATTAATAATTATACTCTTTAAATTTAAATTAGTAAAAATATTTATACTAATCTGAATTGCTGATTGACTTTTTGCTTTCGATTCAGTTAATTTTACTAATAAAAAGTCATTTCTACTAATTTATTAGTAAATTTTACTAACTAAAAAGCAAAAAGTCAGTCACTGACTAATACATTAAAATTTATTCAGTAAATTGTACTAATAAATAGTAATTTCTACTAATATGTTAGTAAAATTTACTAATTTAAAAACATAAAGTCAGTCACTTACTAATAAATTTAAATTTATTCAGTAAATAAATTGAGTGAGTAAATTTTACTAATAAATAGTAATTTCTACGAATTTATTAGTAAACTTTACTAACTAAAAAGCAAAAAGTTAGTCAGTGACTAATAAATTTAAATTTATTCAGTAAATAAATATAGTGAGTAAATTTTACCAATAAATAGTAATTTTTACGAATTTATTAGTTAAATTTACTAATTCAAAAACAAAAAGTCAATCACTAATTCAAATTAGTAAACATTTTTACTAATTAAAATTTACAAAATAAATTTATTTAATTAATGAATTTTGAACGAAACAAAATTGTTGAAAAATTAAAATTTATTATTAATCAGTATTAACAAATAATAATTAATAATGAACATTATTCGTTGTAAAATTTTTGAAATTTTCCACTGAAAATTTTCCATGACAAGAACGTGAAAAAATGCTGATAGAATTTTCGTCCTGTGTGGTAAAAAACAACCTACTTCCGATTGAAACGCAAACTATCGTCACACTTTATTAAAAAACAGTCAGACAGGAAGTGTTTTAATTTATTCTTTTCGATTGGATCTCACACGACTTCAAATAAAACCCATAATAATATTTATTAATAATAATAATATTTAATATTATTGTATAATTATTGTTTAATAATACCTAGTAATAATAATATTTACTAATATTAATATTATTATAATAATTATTAATATTAATTATTTTAAACATTTACAATTGTTTTAATTAACAAAATAGATTTTTATTCTCGACTTGAATTACTGAATCGTTATGAATGAAAAATTTATTTTATAAAATAATATTAATTAAAATATCATAATGCAGTCGGTTCAGTAAACTTAAATATTGACAAAAGTGACTGATGTAAACTAATAAATAACCATTCATAATATATAGAACGGCTTATAATAACTCGAGCTTCCTTTAACCAACAAAAGCAAATCATCAACCGAAATAACGAAAGCGAAAGCTAAAGCAATTTACCACAATGGAGAATTCATTTAAAATTACGAAACTTTATCTCTGTCACAAACATAACTGTTAATTTTTTTATTTTTAAATTTTACTATAAAAGATATTACACTATTTATTATAATTAATATTTTTTTGTTATTGACATTTCTATTTCAAGAAATTTTATTTATTTGTGCGGAAATATTATAAGTCAAAATGAATGAGTTTAAATTTAATTTAATTAAAATTGAATTCATTAAATTAATTATTTTTAAATTCATTGAAAATTGAATTGATAAATTAACTAATTTTAAATTTATTAAAAATTGAATAAATTAATTAACTAATTTTAAATTTATTAAAAATTGAATAAATTAATTAACTAATTTTAAATTTTCTGAAATTTGAATTAATAAATAAATAAATTTTAAATTAATTGAAAATTGAATTGATTAATTAATTTTTAATTCATTGAAAATTGAATTAATTAATTTTAAATTCAAGTCTTCTTGTTATTTTATGAAAAGTAATAGAATAAAAAAATAAATATAGAATAAAAGCTATCTATTTTAGTAAAAAGACTGTTTACTTTTCTTTGGGTCAATTCTTCACGCCTCTTTTTTACATTCTCGTTTTCTTCTACACATAACCGGACATCAATTTTTCTCGGGTCAACTACTAGGGGATCCCGCACACTTGTCCCAAAAGGACAGGAAGCCCATGATTTCTTGCGAAATTTGAGATTTTTCGGTGCCACTCTGTCTGATAGGGCACAGTTTTCTCGCTTTGAAAATTTATGGGCTTTTTCCCCTCTTTGTTTCAAAACGACTCTCAAAATAAATATATAATTTATAACACTAAATAAGAAGTAATTACTAAAAAAAAAAAAATTTTTTTTTAACGAAAAGAAAAGAGTAAAAAGAAATTTAAATGAAATATTATTTATTTTGTATTATTTGGAAACTATTGTTGTTCTGTTTTTATTTTTCTTTCAAAATATTGTCACATATTTATTTTTAAAAATTGAACTATTTTCTATATTAGTAATTAGCCAATGACTGGGTTTGTTTTTTATTATCTCGTTGGTTTCTTTTTCTCTTTTTTTTTTCTTGAAGCCAATAGCACACATTAGGGTTACCGTGTCCAAGAATATTCTACGGGGAATTTTTTTTTTCTGGTTCACCTACTACATTTTTTTGTACACACGTGTTATTCTTTCATTTGGCAAGAAAATAATACGTTGTGTGGAAAAGCTTTTCTATTAAAAAAAGATCCTGGGCGATGTATTCTAAAAATAATATTTAAATTTAGAGAAAAATAGGTTTTAAATAAAAAATATTATTATTTTTAATTTTTTAATAACTGTTTGGCTGATTCAAGAAAATATTTGTAGCTAAAGAAAAAAAAAATTTATTCTCAAATTAAGAATATATTCTTCTAGAATTTTTTTCATTTTTATTCTTTTTATTTATTGTTATTATTATTATTATTATTATTATTATTATTATTATTATTATTATTATTATTATTATTAATATTATGTAAATTAGGAAAATTTTTCTTGTCTAAATATCAACTTTAATTTTTTAAATAATTTTTGATTCAATATTTTTAAAAATTCATTTATTGAATAATTAAACTAATTTTTTTTTTGAAAATTTAATAAAATTCTTCGAATAAATTTAATTATTTTTAATACAATTTTAGTTGAATGCCTCGAAAGAATTCAAATTATTTAAATAAAATTATCAACAATTTTTTTTTAAAAGAATTTTATTAATATTTTTGAAAATAATTAAATTATTTCTAGGAATTCAATTAAAATTGCATTTAAAATTTCAATATTATTCTTCGAAAGAATTCAATTATTTCCAACAATTTTAGTAAAATTCTTTTTCAAGAATTCAATTACTTTCAATGCAATTTTAATTGAATTGCTATAAAAAAAATTCAATTATTTTCAAAAATTTTACTAAAATTCTTAGCAAGAGTTCTTTTTTTGAAAGAATTTTGTTAAAATATATAAATGTAATAATTGAATTTTTACGAAAAATTTTATTGAAATTTTTGAAAATAATTGAATATTTTGAGGAATTTAATTATTCATTTTGTATTTAAAATCTTTAATAAAATTCTTCGAAAGAATTCTAAGTTTTAAAAAGTTTTGCTAAAATTCTTTTAAAGAATTCAATTATTTTCAATACAATAATAATTTAATTCCTCGAAAGAATGCAATTATTTTAAAAAATTTTAATAAAATTCTTTTAAAGAATTCTGTTATTTTCAATACAATATTAATTTAAAATTTCTCTAAAAAATACAATTATTTTTCAAAAATTTTAAGAAAATTTTTCGAAACAATTCAATTGTATTCAACAATTTTAATAAAATTCTTACTAAAAACTCTTTTTTGAAAAGACTTTGGTTCATACTTTTGAAAATAATTGAATTATTTTGAGGAATTCAATTAAAATTGTATTTAAAATTTAAATAACATTTTTTGAATGATCTTAATAAATTATTATCAAAATTTTGATAACATTCTTTTAAAGAATGTAATTATTTTCAAAAGTTTTAATAAAATTCTTTGCAAGAATTCTTTTTTCAATTAAGAATTTTATTTAATTTTTTTCAAATTAATAAGAAATTTCACTATTATTAACGCAAAATTTTAATTTCTGTTTAAATAAAATATCTTTATTTTTTTAAAAACTTTTTTAAACTTAAAATTTATAATTTATTATTTTACCATTTTTGGATTATTGAGATTTACCTTATTTTTTTTTGTATCAATAAATTTTTGAAAAAAAATGTTTGTAGAAAAAAATTTTTTGTTTTGACACGAGGAGGGTTGGGAGAAGGAATTCGATTTCTTTGAAGTAGTGAAGCTGTTTTTTTTCCGTGATGCCAATGTTGTTTATCAAATATATACATATATATATCTGTCCAAATGAAACATATGGTCCATTATTCGCGAGAGAATGTGCATAAAGATTAAAAAAGTGTAGATGGTGATGCTTTCTTTTTTGATCGGCGCTCTGCGCGCAATTTTTATTTGGAACTCTGGAGAAAAAGGGAAAGTAAAAATAAAAATTTTTTTACGATAGATATGAAGGACTGCAAATATTATATAGAACACTTCAGAAAGCACCGGCTTAGGATGAGAGGATGGATATTTTTGGTTATCGCCTGGTACTGAATCCTGCTTCAGTAAATCAAGCTGCGTTAGTTGCTTTTCGACCGCTACGAAGGGTGTATATTTTTCTTTATAATACTGACAGTGTCATATAATGTTATTATCTCGTGCATTTCATTAATCACAGTGTGGGAGAGAAATAAAAAGACAAAATGCGTCCGGGTAGGTATTTAGTGAAAAAAACATTTTTTTTTATTCTTCTGATTTTATTCTTCAGTACTGAAAGAGGAGAATTTGTTTAAAAAATAAATAATTAAACGATTATAGTTTAAAGTAGTTTTGTATACTAAACAAAGTAGAAATTATTAAACATTTTTAAATTCTCAAAATTTGAATTAAAAAATTAATTTTTATTTTTTATTCAAAAGTTGAACAATAACGCTAAGAGTGACAGACAAAACGTAAAATTATTGTTGAAAAAACAAAAGAAACGGAGTAAAATCTGAACACTAAAAAATTTACTTGTTTAGTTATTTATTTATAAATATAAACTGTTTACTTAAGTAGAAAATCAAACTTATTTTTTGTTGAAGATAAACGATAAGTGAACAAATTACTTTTAATTTATAAAAAGTGTACATAATTGTTTAATAAAAAAAATTATAAATTACCCGTTGAGCCGTTAGTAATAAAAATTATAATTATTATTATTAAGAACAATAATAATAAAAATTATCATTTTGAAATAAACAAAAAAATATTTCGGGAATTATTGAAATTACAGATTATTAAATTTAAAATGATTTTAAAACAATAATTTTCATTATTATTAATAACATAATATAATAAAAATTATTATTTTATAGAATCATTTTAAAATCAATAAAAAAAATGTTACAGGAATTATTGAGATTACTGAGCAAGCTTACCAACGTCGTCAAGGGATTGAAGATGATCAAGTGACATGTTGGCGACCAAGAACAAAAACAATAGTTATGACATTAGTTGGAATAATTATTTGCTCTTTTATTATTTATTGGTTTGTGAGTTCAATTATTCATAGCTATAAAGAAAATGCCAGGGGATCTCGATCAAGAGTTTCTCGATCGATCATCTCAGGTAAATAATTCGTAATTGAGAATTTAATAATAATTTAATTTAAATTATTACGAAAAATTTAAATATGAACTTACTTCTCTTGCTTTTTTTTCTTTTCATACCTATATAATTTTGTTTTTTTATGCTTTTTTTAAAAATAATTTTAAACAAAAATACAATTAGAAATTTTTTGAAATCATAAATAAATTCTAATTAATAAATAAAATTTGCAGAACGAACAGAAAAATGGTTGAAAAATAAAGAAAATTTTTAAAACGAAAGGAAAAATTCTAAACAATAAAAAAAATTCTTAGTAAGGAAGGAAATTTTTAAAACGAGAAGAAAATTTTTAAACAATAAAGAAAATTTTTAAAACGAACAGAAAAACTTTAAATAATAAAGAACATTTTTAAAACGAAAGAAAAAATTTTAAACATTAAAAAAAAATTCTCAGTAAGGAAGAAAAATTTTAAACAATAAAGAAAATTTTTAAAACGAAAAGAAAAATTCTAAACAATAAAAAAGATACTGAATATAAGAAAGAAAATGTTCAAAACAAAAAATTCTAAACAATAAAAGAAAATTCTTAATAAGAAAGAAAATTTTTAAAACAAACAAAAACTTTAAATAATAAAAAAAAAATTGTTGAATGAAGTGAAAAATTCTAAACAATATAAAGAAAAATTCAGTAATTTTTTATGTGAATAATATTAAAATAGTATAAAAATTCTTAATTAGTTGAAATTTTCAGTGGTAAATTCTATTTAAATTTTTCGGTAATTTTTGTATTTTTCCGTAATGGAAAATTTTTTAAACACATTTTATACTTTTCTGAATACATTTAATAATGTATTTCATTTTTTCATAAATATTAAGAGTACTTAAAATAATTTTAGGGATAAATTTATAATAAGTACGAGTTAAAAGAGGAAATGAAAGATTCAGTGCTGCACCAAAGACTAATTCTCAAAAATATCGAAATGGAAATCCAAACTATTATTACGTCAACGTCAATATTTCGTCAAATAGTGGTTCGTTGGACATTCAGTTTTGTGACTATATTTTATTTTTTATTTACTACTATTTTACTATTTACTTGTTTTTATTTACTTACTAAATTTTTTTTGTTTTATTTTAAAATTTTTTGTCTTTATTTATTTATTTATTTATTTATTTATTTATTTATTTATTTATTTATTTATTTATACAAAAAATGAAGAAAACAATATTATCAAAAAGATTAATTATCATAAAAATTCTTTTCAGATGGTGCGTTTTAAATGATTTACTATAATTTCTAAATCTGAATTAGTTCATTTAATGAATCAGTTTTTGATTAAATTTTAGTCAAAAGTGAGTAATTCTAATTTAGAGATTATCCTTGAAGTTTCGTAATGCTTCAAGTTCCTGTAAGTTCAGCTCTCTTCAAAAGTTTAGGTATAATATACATAAATATGCAGACTTTTTACATAAACCACATATACCTATACATATAGAGATTATACTTAATTTTAATAATTATTATTATTGTTATTATAATAATTATTAAATAATTATATATTCATAAAAAAATTAATGATTTTCAATATTTTATTGTTTCTCGTTTCTTCTGATTAATGTTTTAAATGCAGTATTAAAAGTTATAATAACAGTTTGGTTTTCGTGTCTTATATTTTATACTTCAGATTAATTTATATCTCGTTAACACTAGTTTTGTTTAAGAATTATTTTTCGACATTAAAATTTTTTCTATTGTTAATTAAGTTGGACAATAAAAAATCAAAAAAAAAGACAAATATGGAATTTAATTATCTATGTCAATGAATAAAAAGAGAATGTAAAATCCATTGTAATTAGTTCTTAATATTCCTATAAAAAAAATGTATAAAGAAAATTCAAATAATAAAAAAATTAAATAATTTATAAAAATTATTTGATTCAAGTAAATATTTATTTGACACAAGTAAATATTTATTTGACACAAATAAATATTTATTTGATTTAAATAAATATTTATTTGGTAATAGACAAGCAATCGATATTATTTGAATCGAATAATTGACTTAAAAATTATTTGATGCAAGGAAATATTTATTTGATGCAAGTAAATATTTAATTGATTCAAATAAATATTTATTTGGTAATAGACACAAGTGACCAATATTATTTGAATGAAATAAAATTTTTTTTCTATTAGTATAAACAATTGGTAAGCATTAAAGTTTAAAGAGAGAAGGAAATAATTTTATGAAAAGCGCAAAGAACTAAAGGTTGTGTGTACCTATAAGTACAATTTCTAATTCATAAATCACCTTTTGTAAACTTCAAACAAGAGTCGCGTGGTGTTTTAGCTTTTAGTGCTTGATAAATGTAAACAACATGTGTTTCAACTTGCAAGAATCACGTTTCATGACAAATCCTTTCTCTCTTTGTGAGCAATAAACTGAAAATATCTAAACCGCGTTAAATGACGAGTAGTGAGTACTATCCAATATTATCAAATTTTATGCCTTTTCGTAATATACAAATCTAATATATCTCGTCTTCATTGTTCACTTCTCATCTCATATATTTTATATCTATGAAATTTAATTCTTGTACATATATTGAAAGATAAATCTCCAAGTCTTAATTTTTTTGGTAATTAATAATTTTCTTATTCAATGATACACTGAAAAAGCAAATTTTATATGAATTTATAAAAGAAAGGGATTTTTTTAAAGTATAGAGTTTTTTTTAAGTAGATTTATTTTTATTATAAAACTTAATTATTACTGGCAGTTTAATTATAATTATTTAAGTACCAGAATATATTCTGCAGTCATTTTATTTGTTAAAAATATTTTAGTTTATTGTACGATTCATAATATTATACGATTTACAATTTATATTTATTTATTTTATTATATTATAACAATTTATATCGATAAATTATCATTATCGATCATAAGTTAATAATTAAGTTTTAGTAGAAATAAACAAGCTGAATACGATTGCTTCAATATCTAGAAGAAGAAAAAATTAAAGACACTGTATTTTAATAATATTTTGACAGAAAAAAAGTTTCTTTCGAAAAATACACTGAAAAAATGTATTTTAATAAAATAATCGATTAAATAATAATCAAATAAACATTTATTTGTATAGAATAGTTTTTAGTTTGAATAAATAAGAATCAATGAATTGAATAGAAATAATAAATTAAATGGTACTTGCGAGTCAAATGCAGAAATTATTTAATTTAATTTACAGGTATTTAATTTATGATTGAACCAAATAATTTTTAATTTACTTGAGTAAATATTTAACTTTATATCAAGTAATCGATTATATTTGAATTACATAAATTTCTTTTCTGTGTCGGACGTTTTGAAAAATGAACAAAAATTCTTTTACTCACTATCATGAAAGTACTTATACTCATATCTATTGTTCCAAAAGCTGTTAATTTACATTCGAGTTTATTCGAAATCATCATATTGAAGTAAATTTTTTGACAAGATAAATCACACTTGTACCATTCTTTGTAAAATGCATTTTTTGTTACACTTGTACTCTAAAGGGAGGAAAAAAAGAACTGATATATTTTCTTATTTTGCGCAAAAAAAATTGTTCTTCGTTACAGTTAAAGTAGCAATTAATTGAGAAATTATTAATTCGAATATTAATAATTTATTAATTAATAATTAATAATAATTGATTTTTATTAAAATCGTTTTTTAATTACTTTGTGATAAAACAGCTTAAATATGATTATTTTTGTTTCAATATTAAATTTCTTGAAATCTTTTCAAAAAAATAATTTTTTCGAAAACAAAATAACAGAATTTAGATGAAGAATATTAGTTTTTGAGAAAAATTATTTCTTACCGCTTCTAATAATGTTTGAGCGCAATAACATAACATGAAAACTTGTATCATAGAACCGGAAGTGTAGAGCACAATTAAACATTTGTCAAAAATTGATATTGGTAACTGAAAGTAAAATTTTTTATTCTAGCAAAAAATAAATATTTTTAAAAATAAACATTTCTAATTGTTTATTTTTAAGAATAAATATATATATTTATTCTATATTTTTAAGAATAAATATTTTAATAATGGAGGAATATTTAGAGAATTAATTATAAATGCAAATAAAAATAAATTCGAATTATTTTATAATAATCAAGAATAGAGGAACTTACCGTTATTATCATAAATGACAAAAAACAGAATCGAAATATGCAATTACCGTATGTTAATGCAATATTCAATGATAAAAGACTTTTCAGCAATTTACCGATTCTGGAATTTATTTTAAAAAATGTTCTTAAAATTAGTATTTTTTATGTAATAATACACCCTTTTAACTAGTAAAGTCAAAAATAAATATAAATTATAAATTAATATTTATTATTAAATTTAATATTTTAATGAATATTAATTTAATAGTTTAATGAAATAAATTGCAAAAACAAAATTAGTTTTCTCAATTTTAGTTGTAATGACAAAACTTCGATTTATAGGCTTCATAATAAAAAATTTGCACTGATCTGATTTGAAAATAAAAAAAAATATTTGTTTGCACAAAAACAAAAGTCAAGAATTTTGTTATTAAATTAGAATATTGTATGCAAACAAATTTTTTTTTTTTTTTTGAGATCAATAAAAATAACTGCATTTATAGTTCTCACTCTGTTACAGAATTATGATGTTGAATGAGTCTTTTGAATTTTTTTATTCTTGAAACATTGTCAAATAATTTTTCGTCTTTGTCGCTAATTTTCAAATCGATGACACTATTAGTTTCAAATAGTGATTCTAATTCGTCACTAACGTAACGATATTCCGACGTAACCAATGTGATCATGTGAATCACATAAAAGTCGATACTCGATTTTTTACCGATTAGAATGGAGGCAGAAATTGCTTGGAATAAAGTACCGCAAATGAAAAGTATCATTGTAAATGATTCTTCGATGAAATACGTTGGCACCCGGAAATCAAGAATTGAAAATTCATTTTGTTCCATTATTTTAATTATTGGCGAGACAGTCCAAAAAAAAACCGTCCCAACGACAGCCGTTATGTAAATTCTTAGTGGTTTGTCTATTGGATTTGTCGTAAGACGAATACAATTTAGAATCTGGGTAGAAAATTATTTTTTTAATTTCAGGAAAGTCGAAAAAATTTTTATTGTAAAAATATTTTTTTTAACTAAAAAAAAACTGATGATATATTGAAAAATTAATTTTGTACCTTATTTTCGTCAGAGTTGTTCAAAATATTGTTTATCATTTTTATCAATTGTTTGAGATCATTTCTTCTGCAATTCACATAAATTGAAAGCATTAATACTTCAATTAAAACAACCATATTTATTGTTCCATATTGTAGTGCCTCGACTTTTGGTACTAAAAATAATCCCAAAAAACTAAACAGAAAATAGATAGTTTCCAAAATCCACAAAATTATCGCATATATTTTCCAGCCCCATTGAAATTCCGAATTTTCATAACTCGATGGGAGAAGATTTCCTGACAGAAGATTAATTAAAACTATAAATTTATTAGTACTCTTAAAATTCATTACTATTATTTTTATAATAAGAATTAAAATTATTAACTATTATTATTATTATTATTATTATTATTATTATTATTTTTTTTTATTTTTTTTTTTATTATTATTTGCTTTTTAGAATTATTATTTTCTTTGTTTTTATTATTTTCTATTTGTTCCTATTATTTGCATTTCTATAAATATTTTCAGACAAGAGTATAAAACAATTTAATCTATAGATATTCCAAACGTAAATTAGAGTTGACATTATTGAAATGAAAAATTAATTATTAAGTAAATAATTAAATAGAAGAAATAGAGTCATGTATGCGTTGAAATATTCACATGTAAAATTCAAGAGAATATTTTCTTGGAACAATAATTATATTCGTATGATATTGTCAACGGTGAATAGAATATTTTCTGAAACAATTATATTTATTATTGTCAACCGTATAAATATAAATTTCTAAGATAGTGATATTTTGCGAATTTAAATTATTAATTGAAGAGAAAATACACAAATGTCGTTCTTGAAATGAAATATCGTTTAGAAGGTATAATTTCATGATTAATTATTCATTTGTATATTTATATGCGTGTAGAAAACAAAATGGTCTTTCCTATTCAGAGTAGGAATAATTATAATTATTTTCTTTTTCGTATATTTTATATGAATTAAATTGCAAACGAATTAATCGACTTTATTTATTCTATACATTATTCAGTATGGTCTTTGACTCTTGAGCAAGTTTGAAATTTATTTTCCATTTCTCTATAGAAAATTACTTGAGAAAAATTTATAAAATTCAGTGGACATAATTTTTTTCAAATTAAACATTTTTATTAAGTTAAACATATATATATGGTACAAAAATAGGAATATCCAAATATATCAAATTTCGATTTAACGATTATTATAACAACGTTTAATATAAAACTGAAAGACAACTTTTGAAAAATAAATTATTTACTCTCTTAGAAAAGAAGAACGTTTTTTGACATTTTCACTTACATGGTAAGTTCTAAATTATATGTATGTATTGTACATTTTTTCCAATTCGTTGTTTACGTTTAATTAAGAACTGATATATAAACTAAACTACAAATTACTGATCTAATTAAAAATTTGTTAAAAAATAATTTTTATTGAGAATAACTCAATATTACATATTGTATATTATGTATTTTATATTTCGCGAGATATTTTGTGCGTGATATTTTCTATTATGTATATTTTATATTGTATATAATTCTTTGTATCATATATACATTATATACATATTATATACATATTTTATATACATATATTTAATTACATATATTTACTAATATTTTAATAATATAAATAAATATTATACAATATATAATATTTACTTAAAAAATAAATTCAATCGATCGGTGTGACTATAATTATATCTCTATTATATGTAACTATAACAATTAAATTAATAATTTTATTAACAAATTAGGAAAAAAATAGAAATATTTTACAACAGTATGGCACATATTGATAATGCGATTCATTTAAATATGGCAAATTATGGAATTAATTTATCACGTGAACTTTTAAATTCCTCTAAGTAAAATGTTTAAATTGTTATTAATTTAACAATCAAGAAGCTTAGGACTGTAATTAATAAACTGGATTCAACAGCTGATGAAGACGAATATCCTTCGATGTGATGATAAACGTCTCGTGAGCCGAGTTCTTGAATTGGTCTGTAGTTGGATTTTATATTTCCGTCACTTGACATGACATTTTTGAGAATTTTCATCTGTTAACAAAAAACAATGATTCATTACGATAAGAATTTAAATATTAATTACAGTAATTTAAATTACAATAATTTCAATTTTAATTACAATCAAATTGCAATTTAAACTTTTAATTTAATGACAATTTTAATTTTAATTGCAATCAATTTGCAATTTAAATTTAATTACAATATCAACTGTAATTACAACTGTTACAATTTTAATGACAATTCTAATTTTAATTACAATTTTAATTTTAATAAGTCAATTGTAATTTTAATTTTAATTACAATCAAGTGTAATTTAAATTGAAATTTTAATTACAATTTTAACTTTAATTACAGCTGTTACAATTTTAATAACATCTGTTACTATTTTAATTGCAGTTTTTCATTAGTTACAACTATTATAATTTTAATTACAGTCAATTTTAATTTTAATTGCAATCATTTTTTTTTAATTACAATTTTAACTTTAATTACAACTATATTGTAAATTTATAATATTACTAGCTGTCGTACCCGTCTTCGACGGGTTTTAGTTTCTACCAATGCATTTAACAGTGTTGCTACCAATCTGGAAGATCAGAAAATAGATGGGAATTTAATTTGACCGGAAAATTAATAATAAGTTACCATTAGCTATTACGGTAGTATAATATTACTATTTGAATAGTCTCTACCCTTTAGCAAAAAATCAAAAATGATCAAAAATTCGAAAAACCGAATTTCTTAAAATTCAACATTTTTTCTTCTCTTTTATGGCATTTAGCTTCATTATTTTTGTCTAATGTAGCAAATTTCTTACTTTACATACTGATCACTATTTTTTTAGAAAAAAGTTGATCTAAAAAAACGAAAAAAAATTTCAAAATACGTGTTTTTTTAAAATTTTATTGTAGAAATGGGTTGTATTTATCTGAAAAGTTAGCTAAGGATAGTTTTGCATTCATTTTACAAAAAATAAAAAGTTTGCATTTTTTTTTGATTTTTCGAATTTTTTGGAAAAATGTCATAACTTTCGTTCAGACAGAAGTCTGATTTTATTAATATAGATAGATTGTCAATTGTAATTGTAATTTTAGTTATTTGAATTGAATTTTAGTTATGATTTCATCTTTAATTACAACTATTATAATTTTAATTACAATTAATTGTAATTTTAATTTTAATTACTATTAATTACAATATAAATTTTGATTTTAATTTTAATTGCAATCAATTGTAATTTTAATTCCAATTAATTACAATCTTCATTATTTGCTCTCTGAATATAAATTAAAAATTAGTAGTTTTCTACTATTTAGAGAATACGGATTAGTTTACTAATTAAATAATATAAATATTTTACTAATTTTTAGCAGAAAAGTACTAATTTGACAAATATTTAGTTATTAAAAAATTAAGATTTTACTTTTTCAATTAATAAATATTTTATTATCAAATTAGTAATTTTCAACTATTAATTTATATAGTGTTTTTTTTTTTTTTTTTTTTTTTACTGAAAATGAGTAAAATTGGAACGTTTCTATACCTGTGATTCGGAAACTGGCAATTTTTCGGTGAGGACAGTCCAAATAACAGATTCCTGACAACCTGGAGTCGTCAGGGAACCCTCGTATCGATAAAATGTTGAACGATCTTTCGGTAAAAGAAGCGATGGTATCACTTTTGAATCAATTTCGGCCATACTCGGTCCTACCCAATTCGATACTAATTTTGCCGCCTTGATGATATGATGTAAATCTTCATTGTCCTTATCACTTAACTGCAATTTTCAATAATATTGAATTAACATGTTTTTTTATCGTTTTGTTATTTTTTTAGTTAACAAAAATAAACAAAAAAAATTTTTTTGTTTAATTTTTTTACATTTATTTTTTTCCCATTTTTTTGAAATTTATTATTCAGTTCCTACACTGAAAAAAAATTATTTGATTCGAATAACCAATTAGTTGTCTATTATCAAATAGATTTGAACAAAAATTGAAATTCATTTATTTGAACGTTTGGAACTTTATAGAGGTAACTTTGACAGTAATAAATTTGGAAAAAATTATTTATTTTATTTATTTTACAAAATGGGGAAAAAATAAAAATGTTCGTTACCTCGAAAAGAACAGCTAGAACGGCAATGCCTTTCGGATATTTGCTGGCGGATGTAGCATTTTCAAATTCTTTGTCATAATGGACAAAATGAAATTCCATCGGATCTCGAACACCATCGATGATATGTTCCGCAGACCAGTGAATATGAATTTGCTCCAAAACATATGTGGTTGGTAAACCTCCACCCATTAGATTAATTGGAACACCAGTCAAAGTAATTTGCACTGTAACGTCATTGAACAGTCCTTTTTAGGTTGCAACAAATCTGTAAGGCCAAATCCCAAATGGCAGAAAAAAGCGTATTTTAAGCTGTTAAAAGTTTTTTTTTATAAATATATTATCATAGATAATTATCTCATTAAATGCGGACATTTCAATTTAAATTTTCTCTTTTCAGTAGAATTTACAAAATTCTATTTTTTCTCGATCAAATTTAATTATAGAAAATTTTTAATTTTAAATATATATAAATGTCAATAAATTATATTCTTGTTGAATAATAAAAGTTAATATTAAATTTTCTGAATATTAAATAAAAAATTTATGTACACATAGCTTTTGCTAGAAGCGTCTCCCTTTTTAACAATTTTTTATTTCTACACTGAAAAAAATTCATTTGATGCAAGTATTAAATTTATTAAATACAATAAATAACCTGTCTATACTGTCAAAAAAATATTTATTTGAATCAAATAATTTTTATCTAAGTCAATTAAATAATATATTCGAACCAATATAATTTCAGTGAATTTAAAGCATTTAAAATTAATTAAAATTAAATTTAAAATAACAAACTATAAATATAAAATGACAAATAAAAATATTTATTGCAAATAAATATTTATTTGATAATAGACAAGTAATCGAATCAAATAAACCTTCTTCAGTGTATTTAAGACCAAATTTATTTTTAAATCAAGTAGGTAGACGGAAAATTAATTTTCTATTTCAAAAACTTGTTTCCTTTAAAAGATATCTATTGGGACTATTTTTAATTTATTTATTTTTTTTTGTTTTTCTTTTTATTTTACTGTTAAAAAATTATTTTTTTCTGTCTGCCATGATTGTCTAATAAATTTGGTCTTGAAGTATTTTTTTTTATTTTTGATTCGCTTACCTGTGTGTCCTGTGTTTTTAATCATACCGGAGAAAGCAAAATCATAGCGAACAAATTTTAAAGCTCCCAAGTCTGTATTTATTGCAGCATCAGAAGCGATATCAATTGGAGATTGTTTCTTGCCAGATCTGCATAATCCAGGCCAATTTTGTGGACCTAAAATTAAAATTATTTAAATTACTTTTTGTGTTTTTTTTTACTTTTATCTTGTTTCAATTGCCTTTTATGGTTTTTTTACTTTTGTTTTATTCAAATCGCTTTTTGTGATTTTTGGATTTTTATTTTATTTAAATCACTCTTATTATTTTTTTCATTTCTGTCAGTTATTTGAATATTTATTTAAATAATCGGTTATTTAAATGAACTCTCAAAATCTGAATTAGCTAAAAATTACTAATTATTAGTAAAATCGTGACTTTTTTTGCTTCAGAAATTAGTAAAAAATAACTGATTATTAGTAGACAAATTACTGATTAATTAATTAATTAATTAATTAATAACTATAGTTATTTTGACTATTTTTGAATACAAAAATAGTCAAAATTTTACTACTTGAATTATAGTTACAAAAAATTTCATTACTAGAATCGATGAATGACTTTTTACTGTCAATTTAGTTGTTTTTACGCACTGAAAAAAAAAGTTTATTTTATTCAACTAACCGATTATTTGACTATTATCAATTAAATATTTACTTGAATCAAATAATTTTTATTGGAGTCAATTAAATGGTTTTTCCTTCAAATACTGAAATTATTGATTCAAATAACATTTAATTGATTTAAATAAAAATTATTGGATTCAAGTAAATATTAATTCCATATAGACAAGTAATCGGTTATTTGAATCAAATAATTTTTTTCGGTGTAACTAATTCAAAAAAAGAGAAATAAATTTTTTTCTTCAGTGTAATTAATTAATAATTTAATGCTACTGTAATAACGATATTGTAAGCATATATTCGAATAAAATGTAACGAACTGAACAATGTGTTTAATCACTGCTTATAAATTAGAATTGCATGTTACAAATTGCGAAAAGTAATTAACTTGAAGGTTTTTTCTAATTTGATTTAGAGGTTCAAGTTAATAGATCTCGTGACAGGATGAATTTTCTTTTTTTTTTTTTGCCTTTCAATTTAAAGTTACACGTCAGACAATGATATAAAATTTCTATTTTCTTAAAAACGGTGATTTTTCAAAGTTTAAGCAATACTAAATAGATGCGTTATATGCATGTAAGTGAATCCATTATTCAATTTACACCACAGGGCCCATCATTTCCTCAATCAACACATAGGTATATCAACTTGACGATCTGCTACAAAGTGAATTTTTTTTATTTTCTTCTTTTTAAAATTTGCATATTTAAAAATTAATCTATTTGAAAAAGAGAGAATTTTTTACTATTCTTGATCGATAAATCACAATTTTCTTTATTCGAAAATTAGAATTTAAAATTTATTTATTATTCTTCATTCATTTTTCAAATTTTGACACATTTTTTGAAACTATTCTTGATCAATAAATCTCGCTTTTTTTTATTCTTGATCAGTGTCTGTTAATTGTTCTATCATTTTTCTTTATATCAATAACTGATTCTTAATTTTTTTATTAATATTCATTCGGGATTCAAAATCGGAGATTTTTTTTCTTGATTTTTTAAAATTTGACAATTTTTTATTAAGTTGTTTATTCATTAATTAATTATTTACTTAATTGATTAATCAATTAATAATAATAATTAATTAATTATTTAGTTATTTTATTAATTTATTAATGAATACCTAATAAAATTAATATTCTCTCTAAATTTCACTTAGTAAAAATGGCTGCTAATCAATGACACCTGAACTTCTTTATTTTCTGGTTATTGTTTTCTTATGTGTAAAATTATTGGCCATTGACTTTCTTTTTTCTTGATCAATGATTCATTGAAAAAATTACAATGACCTTAGAATAGTGACTCATGATGATGGGGGTTCGTTATTAATTATTATAAACATTTATCAAATGTTGACTCTTTTATCATACGCTGAGACCTTTTTACGATACATAGAATCAATAATTAATAAATATTAATAAAACTCTCCGATTATTATTGAAATTGAGTCATCAGAAATGAAAGATTCTTTTTTTCTCAAATTATGCTTTCAAGTTACTAATTACACTTATTTTAATTTCATTCTATAATTAATTTAATGAAAGATTCTTTTCAATCAAATAGTACTTTATGAAGTTACTGAATACAATTCCTTATTTTAATTTCATTTCATACTCTCCAAATTTTTATTAGTAAAAATGTTTGCTAATTTCAATTAGTGACTATATTTCTGCTTTTGAATTAGTAAATTTTACTAATAAATTAGTGAATTTACTAATTTAGTATTTACAAATTTACTTTTTGCTTTTGAATTAGTAAATTTTACTAATTCAATAGTAAAAAGTCAGTCACTAATTCAAATTAGTAAACATTTTTACAAATTCAAATCTAGAGAGTAATAAATTATTAAATAAATAATAATTAATAGAAATTAAATATTAAAAGTGAAAATTAAAAATTAAATTACAAATTAAATAATTAAATTAAAAAAACTAATAATTAATTAAATTAATTACAATTAATTATTATTAAATAAATAGAAGTGATATTACCATGATTACCCTCATAGGACCAATCAGCAGCCTCCGTCCAACACAGACCTGAAACAATTTTGAGTTAAATAACAAATAAATATAAAAATAAAAATAAATAATAACTAAATAATAATAAAAATGAATAAATAATTATTTTTATCCCTGAGAAAATTATTACATATTATTGATAAAATTATCATAAACAATATCAACTTGTACTCGAGTGTCTCAACATAATTAAATTAATTCTTTCTTTCTTTCATTCTTATTAATTCTTTTGGTTTAAAATCGAAATTAATTTTTTTATAAAATAAAAAATTTCTTACAGTTATAACACAATTTTATTAAAATTAGTTTATTTTAATTTCAAAAGTTCATATCGTTTTTGAAAATTGAATTAAAAAAAAAACATTTGAAACTTATTCGAAAACTACTGAAAGCTCGTTATATTGGTGAATTGGCAAATTGGGCGCCAGCTAAATTGAACTTGTGAATGACTTGAGCGAACTATATCACGCCAAGGATGCGAAGAAAGTAGGGTAATAGTACAAGGGAAGATCGAATCATCCCGCCAGAGATATATTTTCATGAAAAATGAGATATTTTATATATAATCTTCTTCATCTTCATCATCATTTTCTTAATTTTTTTTTCTTACTTTTTTTCAATTCTTTTATAATGATATACACTTAAAAATATTAAAAATGAATTCTTCTTCATACTTTGTCGCACTTTCGGATAAATGATGATAGGTACTTGATAAAAATTTTTTTTGTTTTATTTTTACTTTTGAACAATCAGAAAAGCAGAAAAAAAAGAAGAAAAGATTTGAGAAAAATAGAAATTTGTTTATTTATTTCATGAAAAGATTTGTAAATATGAGAGCAATCTGTATAATTATAAATGGTACGGGAGGCTTGTTGATTCATTCCAAATGTAATGAAATGCAATGAATAGAATTGCCTTGCCTATATCGACCCAACCTAGACATTAATGTTACTTTCAAGGTACAAGTGCAAAATACGGATTTTTGTTTCTAGAAATAAATCCTTAATTTCCATAATAAAATTCTTTTAAAAGTTTAAAATGATTCACATGATTATAATATATTAGCACAACTGTATAGAATTAATTTTCGAAATTTGTTAATTCAACGATTTTAATTGGATTGGAATTTTTATTTTTTGTACACTGAAAAAAAAAATTTGTTTGATTCAATTAAACGATTATTTGTATATTATCAAATTATTTGATTTTTATACAAATAAATATTTTTTTGTACCAAATAAACATGATAAAAATAAATATTTATTTCTATTAAATACAAATTTAATACAAATAAATATTTATTTGCATCAAATAAATATAATACATATTTTTTTATTTCAAATAATTTTTTTAATCAAATTTTTATTTTCAAAAATTAACAATCAGTTGAATGAAACTTTAAGTGATGAAATTATTGTTTCAAATACAATTTATTTGACGTAGATAAAATTTATTTGATTCAATAAATAAAAAATTATTGTAATACAATTTTTGTTTGAAGAAAAAAAAATAAATTTCGTTCAATAAAACGTTCAGTATTTTATAAACATAAATTTTACTATTTTTCAATAGGTTTTTAATATAGAAATGAAAATTAATAATAAATAATAATTATACTCATTAATATTTATAATATTAATTAATAATAAAAATAATATTTCATAATAAATAATAATAATACTAATTAATATTAAATTAATAATAAAAATAATTTTTTCTAATTAACAATAAAACTAAAATAAAAATAATAATAAATAATAATTTTTAATTATTCGTTTCTTTCACTAAAAATGAAACGTTTTGTAACTGAAAATATTTTTTTATTGATTGTTGCTGAAATAATAAAAGTCAGAATAAAGAATAATTATTTTTAACAAATACAAATTTAGAGAGTAAAATGTTTTTTTCTTTCGTCCCATTATATTTATTATCCCAAGTGATTATAAATTTCGCCTAAAAAATTTGCAATGCACAACTTTGCCGAATTAAAAATTTAGCCAATAACCATTTCCAGTGAAAGATGCAGATGAGTAAATTTAATTTTAACTAATTGACTCTTTGATGAATGATTTGGATATTGAATTCAATTTATTGGTGACGATTATTTTTATGATAAAAACACTCGTGAGATATTTTCCATTCAATTATTAATAATGAAAAAATTTAATTCGTTTCGATAAATAAATTATAAGATACACTTTTTTTACAAAAGCACGTTTTTTTTAAATGGAAGGATCAGACTCGTCATTATTATGCAAATGATTTAATGAGTCTCAATTTGACTTTCCGCTTTTCAAGGGTCATTTATAATGGAATTGCGAGTGTATAAAACAAGAGAAACATGGTTAATTACAAATTGGTGCATTTTCAAATAACAATGTCTCTAATTTGTTAAGATTAATGTACTCTGTGCGGAGTAACAATTCATCGGAGTATGAAATTTCTGTTTTTTGAAAACAAATTTTAATTGAGATCTGCGATAAAAATTCATTCATATATTTTGAGGAAAAAGAAGAAGGTAAAAATTATTTTTTCTACTCGGTTTAAAAAGAAATTAATTATTGAAAAAAAATTAAAAATTAAATAATTAAGTTTAATAATTATTTATTAAATAATAAATTTATTTAATTAAATAAAATAATTAAATTAAATTGATTAGTGAATAATTAAATTAAATTAATTAAAGAATAATTAAAGAATAATTACACTAAATTAATTAAAGAATAACCTAAATATTAGTATTAATAATAATTGATAACATTTTTTTTTCTAATTAGTATGCAATTGTAGATGACCATGTGTTTTCTCTTATTCTTCATCTTCGACTTTATCTGACATTTAAAATAACATTTTCTGCAAAAGATGAATCGAAAAATGATTTATGATTCTTAATCAGTCACGGGATTTACTTTGGCGATAATTCAAGAGGCTGTAAATAATAATTTATCACATGGACGAAACTTAAATTATATATATTTTATAATAAAACTTGTCGTAAATTATTTTATTGTTATCAATTTATATCAATTATTGGGAAAAAATCGATTTTCAAATTTGGTTCAAAATTATTTGCAAAATAAAATACTTTAGCAGATATGGGATAATCTTGTTTTCTGAGGCTAAAGCACAATTATATTTGCTGATAAAAAAAATAATTTTCATCCAATATTTAAAACTTAATGGCATTATAATCGTATGTAAATTTTTTCTTTTATTATTTAAAAAAAGGCCAACCGAGTGATAAGTCATGAATTTTTTCGAAAGTGAAGGAAAAATTTTGCATTTCTTTAAATTTTTAAAACGTTAAAAAAAATGTGTTATTAATAAAAAAAAAAGTTACTAAAAAATAAAAAAGTAAGATTTTTTCTTACAATTGAAAATTTAAGAATTAAAAAAATGTTTTCTTACTTCTTTAAAAGGAATTTTGCGTTTTTAATTTAAATTTTATTTCCTTTCTTTTCTTCCTCACAATTAAAATTGCAAGAAAATTACAATATTTGTTTACGAATGGAAAATTCTTTTTCGTATTGTAAAAAAAATTTGAAGAAATTGTAATCTTGAATTTGAAATAATATTTCATTTGAAAAGAAGGCAATAAGTTTTTTATAAGAATTTGAAAAGATAGAAAACTTCTCTTTGTATTTTTTGAAGATAATACTTGCATATATTGATTACTGTGCAAGAGGAATTTAAAATATTGGATAACAATCACTTTTATCAGCATAGATTTTTTTCTTTCTTATTCGAAATGCAAAGTGGTTGCAATTTAACACCACTAAAGTCCAAACCAGTCCAAACCAATTAATTTTTAATTTAAGAAATTGTAATTTATTCGAAATGAATTTTTTTTACTTAAGTAAAAATATTTAGTGATTTGAATTAGTGACTGACTTTTTACTTTTGAATCAGTAAATTTGACTAATAAATAGTAATTTCTACTAATTTATTAATAAAATAATTATTTATTAGTAAATTTTTACAAATTAATAGTATTTTTTTGCTAATAAATAGTATTTTTTACTAATAAATAGTAATTTCTAGTAATTTATTAGTAAAATAATTATTTATTAGTAAATTTTTACAAATAAATAGTATTTTTTACTAATAAATAGTATTTTTTACTGACAAATAGTATTTGTTACTAATAAACAGTATTTTTACTAATAAATAGTCATTTCTACTAATTTTTTAGTAAAATTGACTAATTCAAATTAGTAGACATTTTTGCTAATTTAAAATTCAGAGTATATAATATTATTTTTTTTTGAAAAAAATCTGTCTAAATTGTTAGTTTATGGATTTTTCTCGAGGAAATTAAAAACTCACTAAAATTTTATATAATTTTATAATAATTTTACTTTCATAGTATTTATTGTGATTAGTTATTATCAATTAAAAGAAATTAGTTTCTTCTATTTTTTTTCAAATAAAGAACTTTCACCATTGGAAAAAATTATTTTTTATAAATAAAAACAGTTCCGACCGTTATCATGAATTATTATTTATATATCAAATAAATATTTATTTAACACAATTTTTATTTGTGTCAAATAATTATTTGTTACAAATAATTATCATTCGTAACAATTATTTGTAATAATTATTTGACAAATAAAAAGTTGTATTAAAAAAATTTTTGATACAATGAATTTGAAATGAATTTAGAAATATAAATGAATATTTATTTGTAACAATTATTAGTTTTGTTAGTTGATTATTATTTGAGTTAAATAATTATTTGTCCGAATTGAACGATAAATATCGTTCAATTCGGACAAATAATTATTAATATAATTTTGAATACTAAAATAATAAATTGAAGTAAACTTTATTTAATTAAAAAAATTATTTACAACAAATAAATTTAAAAACATAAAAATCTATTAGTGAGAGTCACAACATTTTTTAACAACAATATTAATAAAGGAACTTTTTGCAATTTAGTGATATTGGAATCTATTAAATTTTTTGTCATCTTATTAAAATTTACCCCAAAAAAGAAGAAAAATATTTTTTCTTGTTTCTATATAAATATATTTTATTAAAAATAAATTAAAAAAAATAATACATTGTAAATAAAAAAAAAGAAAAATTTCTTTTGTTTATAGAAATATTTTATAAAAACAATTTTATAAAGAAAAAATAAAAATAAGGAGAAAATAGGAAAATTTTTAAAAAATGTAAGGAATTTAAATAATTAGTTACCTGCTAAAAGAAAAAAGATGATGGACCTCATTTTTTTTTATTTGACAGTCAATAAAAAGGGTAATGCAACCGATTAATACAGAGATGTTAGCGTAGCAGCGACAAGTGTTGAACTGATCACAAATTCACTAGTAAACGGTTGAAGCCAACCCCCGAGATTACCCAAGATATCATTATATATATATGAACTGGATTTAACTTGTATATCATCCTAATTCATTCGTAACTGCACGACACACTAGTTAGGTATGTGCATCATAATCTATATACTATATGCATTCACCAATATTGCAATCTCTCATCTAATCGTAAAATGCGTGTAAATGCATCCAAGCTCAATAGCCTTTTACCTACAAAATTCAACATCCGCATTTTACCGTTAATCGATTTTTCATTTTTTTACACATTTACTGTCATTTTATTTATTTTATTTGATGTTTTTTTTCCAATTTCAATCTTCATTACCACAGGATCATGAGAGACGAAAATTAATAGACGAATAATTTTTTTTAATGAGTGTTTGGATCAATTATTTTTAATCGGTGTTGTTTGATTGAAACCAAAATTATTTGAAATCGAATTCTTAGGGAAATCCACTAATTTTACATTTTTTCTAATGATTTACGTATCTACGTTTTTTGTCTCAATTTGACATCCTTAGAAAAACTGTGTTTTGAAAATCGAAAACGATATTAATTTTATTGAGGGGAAAAAATAATTGAAGAAGAACTAAAATCATAATTAATAAGTTAGTGCCCAAGGGAAAAATGTTTTCATTTGATAAATTTATTTTCTTGTCCTAAGAATTCAGATTCAAATATCACAATAAAATCTGTTGTAGCAACAAAAAATTCCGTATCAGCAAAGAAACTCTCTAGTTCAATTTTGATATTTCTCTTTCCTCCGCGTGTATTTTTGCTATTATATTTAAAATTTCTAGTTTGTTTTCTTTCTTTTATGCGAATGGAATTTTATAGTTGGAAACATGGAAATGGAATGAAAAGTATAACCACAGATAAAATTCTGACGTCTATTGTATTAGCAATAAGCGGTCAGAATTTTATGTGTGGTTTGTATACTTATTCCGGTAGCTCATATTAATCTTTGTATTGGATATAATTTTAGTAGAATTTTTCATGAGATAAAATGAAAAAGTAGTAAATATTTTTTCGCGTACAATTATTTCTGGTTTTCATTTTTCGGCACGAAAACGCAAAAATATATATATGTAACTAACCAGATCGACGACGAGAGCTCAACTGATGATCTCCTCGGGCTTGTTACGTGCTCTAGTGTCCAACCACTCAGCATTTGTTCATCACAATGAACCAAAGTGCCGTTGTCCCAATTTTCAACAAACTAATTATCACCAAAACAAAAGCTTCAGTTTTATCCCTTTCTTATAAATGTACATATTTACATTACAAATTAATTCCTTTGAAACGAGAAGCGAAATTCCGACATTAATGCTTTTTGTGCTTCCAAAATTGGAACTGGGTGTAGATTGCTATTATCAGTTCCAATTTTGTTCACTGTCCAATTGTTTTTCAAAATTCGGTTGATTAAATGCATATTTAGTCAAAATTTGGTCAATTAAATGCATATTTAATCTAATAGCTATTATTATCATTGCTATACAAGTTCATGGTTCGTTATAGTCTCAAGAAGTGGTAGTTCAAACCGATGGTGATTTTGACTAACAGTTCTAATATTTGTTGCAATTTCATCTCATGATAGTCTCATAACTAATCGTAGTTTTGTCTCACAATGATTATATTTTCTATTCTTCTATCTCTTTTATCTTCTACCTTTTCTATCTTTTTTTTATCTTCAGCTTTCTCTAAGACTCACAAAACTTTAGAAAATGATTAACAACATTTTTAGAGCATAACATTGTCAACCGAAGAATCTACAAACTTTAAGCTAATCTTTAGTTTAATTTCAAACAGTAGAATAATTTCTATAACATTGTTCTTGAACGAATTTTTCTCATCAAATTTAAATTTATTTGCTATTGCGAACATAAATAAATCTACAAATGGCTTTAAAAATTTTTTATAAATAATTAAATTCTTTTGACGAGATTCTTTAAATTTAAAAAAAAATTATTTTTTAATAATTTTAATTAAAAATTTGGAAAATAATTGAATTAAACAAAGAATTTTTACAATTTTTTAAAATAATTTTGTCTGTTATAAATAATTTAAATCTCGCGAAGAATTTAAAAAAAATTTTAGAAAATATTTTAATTTCTTTGTAGAATTTTATTAAAATTTTTAAAAACAATTAAATTCCTGATAAAATTGTTGTTATTTATGAAAATAGATCAATTATTCACAGAAATTTTATTGAAATTGTATTGAAAATAATTAACAAGTTGAATTTCATTATTTATGAAAATAATTATTCACAGAAATTTTAATAAAATTGTATTGAAAATAATTGAATTTCTGCGCGGAATTTTATTAAATTTTTTTTAAAATAATTTAATTCTTTTTAGTAAATTTATTGAAATTGTATATGAAAAATAATTTACTTCCTGAGAAAAGTTGTAGGTTATTTATAAAAAAATTAAATTTCTGAGAAGAATTTTTATTCTTTATGGAAGTAATTAAGTTCTTATTAAGAATTTTTAAATTTATTTGAATCTGAATTTGACTATTAAAATTTTTGAAAATAATTGAATCCTTTCCTAAAATTTTATTAAAATGTTTTGAAAATAATTGAATTTCTGCAAAGAATTTTACTATTCATAAAAGTAATTGAATCCTTCCAAAGAATGTTATAATTTATGAAAATAATAAAATGTTTGCGTAGAATTTTATTAAAATTTTAGAAAATAATTGAATTGTGGAGAGCAATTTAATTATTTACAAAGATAATTAAAATTTTGAGGAGAATATGGAAATTTATGAAAATAATTGAATTCTTGTAAAGAATTTTTAAAAAAAATAATATTCAAAAGAATTTAGTAAATCTGAAGAATTTTGCTATTTATGGAAATAATTGAATTCTTGAGAAGAATTTTTTTACATTTTCTAGAAATAATATTGAATTCTTTCGGTTTCGACGAATTTTAATAAAATTTTTAATTTTTAAAAATAATTACATATGTTTCGAGGAATTTGATTAAAATTGTATTAAAAATAATTGAAATTCAACAATGAGTTACTATTTATGAAAATAATTGGTATTGCGAAGAAATTTTTAAAAATAAATTTATAATAACGGTGACCAACTTCCCTTGATTATTTTCGAAAAATTTAAATAAAATTCTTTAAAAGAATTTAATTATTTTTAATAGAATGTAAAGAAATTTCAATTATTTCGAAAATTTTCATTTATTTGTTTATAAAAATTGAATTATCTTGAAACAACAGAACTGAAAAATTTCAAAAATCTTATTTTTTAGAATTTTCAAAAAAACTGCGAAAATTCAATGTTGTTAAAAAATTTTTAAGTGTGTATCTTTTTTTAAATTAACGAATAAAAATTTTAATTATTAATTAAATCTTCGCACTAAGAAACATGAATACATTAGAATGTGACTCTTTAAAAAATTCAATTATTCATCAATTATTAAATTAAAATTCTTTGAAAATTCGATTTGTTAAAAAGTTTTTAATGAAATTCTTTAACAAAGTTAATTATTTTCAGTTGAATTTCCAAAAATTTCTATTAATTGGATAATTTTTTTAAATTTATTTACATACTATATTTGAATCAGTGACTGATTTTTTACTACTCTCTAAATCTGAATCAGCGAAAAAGCGCTGTTTTAACCAGTGAACGAAGTTTTCACTGAAAAATAGTGGAATTTATTGAAGATCAGTGGATGTCACTGAAGCAATCAGTAAACTCTGCGTGTGCGCAGAAGTGTAAAATACTCGTAGCGTCATTTCTATGCAAATGTGTTACATTACGCGGAATGTTTTTTTTACATTAGTGCCAAATTAATTTAAATTGGATGAAATTAGTGAGTAGTGATTAAAGTAAACATTAAAGTGAGCATATTTTCTGTGGTTTCGGTGGTGAATTTAATAAATTTTCAAGTGGTTTTCCTTGAATTGGAAAAATAAATTTATAATGAAAATCTAACTCTAAATTCACAAAAATATTAGTGTTTTAAGTATAATAAAAAATAATAAATCATATACCCGTAAACATTTTAGACACATATTATTGCAAAATTTTATAATTGTTGGTTATAAATTGATTGAAAAGAAAATTAATACAGCTGCCATATTCGATAATACGTAACCGCTGATTGGACCAGCGACTATTCGCTGATTCTCAGTGGCATACTTATAGCTATTTGAATTAGCGACTATCCGCTGAGAATCAGTGAGTTTTCGCTGATTCTGATTTAGAGAGTATAAAATTAATTATTTTTAACTAATTAAAATTTAGAGAACAGTATAAATATCTATAAAAATTGAAATTATAAGCGATTTTTTAAAAACAATGCTCTACTACAAAATTTTATTAGAACTGTTTGCTGTGAATAAATTGAACCAAATATTAAGGGATAAAAATCTAAGAAGCATTTTAAGAACTGTTCTGCAATAAAATTGTGACAAATTTTCTTTTGTTCAGATCGGTTACAAACTGGGAAATTTTTCAGATAATGATGATGATAGTAACAGTTTTCTTTATTTTTTATTAGGTGGTTGTTTCGTTTCCAACTAATTGTATTCATTTATTTATTTATTTAGAAAACTGTTTGCTACAATCACGAGTTGAAAATAATCATTCTCAACTAATGGATAGCAACAAAGTCTTCTTTATTTTCCACTTACTAGTAGTTTCATTTCCAACCAATTATATTCAATTATAAATATTCCCAACTAATTATCCCCCAATTCTATATCTCATCCTCAACTGATGATGGTACATTTATACTCGAATCCTCAGATATAATAAATTTACGGATTTCAGTAATTTGTATTTATTTTAATTTCTATAGTACAATAGTACAAAGAAAAGGATTCAAGATATATCCTTTTTTTCATTACATTACATATTGCGTTGAGTATTGTCTAATATTAATATAATAAAAATTATGTAGACAGGAAGTTGCGACTCAGTATGCGAAATTGACTGATTTTTTTCATGCTCAAGTGGATCTATAATCGAATTACTATTTCTAAAAGCCCCTTTTACAATTATATATATATATTGTATATATCACTGTTGAATTTACAAATGTAATTTAATTAGGATTAAACAGATCTTTATGCAATTCCTCGAATTAATTTCTTTATTCAATTTTTTTTCCTTTTATCTCAAGGGTATTATAATACATAGCAAATTATTATCTATCATTCAATTAATATTCACTGTTTAAATATCAGTAATAATCTTTTAAAGCAATTTATATTAAAATAGTAATGGAAATAATAAAAATTATTAAAATAATAATTTATGAACATAGAGATTAAATATTACCACGATCACAATTAAAATAATGGTAGAATAAAAGAATAAAAAGGATTAAAAATAATAATAATAATAATAATAATAATAATTAATATTAAGAATAGTAATAGAAATAATAATAATAAAAAATAATATTTTTATAACATTCTTCTGACTGAAATTAAAAATATCCTTATGATTATCCTTTATAACAACGATTAATGTTGAATAATATTGAACTAAGCAAATTAGATCCAATATCAGTGATCCCCCTCGACTTTTGTATTATTATAATTAATTATTAATAGTGTGACCCTCCTGGGGTTCAGAATATTTCCGTACAATTTATAGTTACACACCTCATTTATTGCACGTTGATTCCAAACGTTTTATTTCCTCGAATTCTTTCATCTTCTATTATTATAGTCGTTGCTTTATTTTACAGTGAATTATAAATTTGTACAGTAATAAGAAAGTAAGGAACTATTTTTAAAATTATTATAAAAATACGTTATAAAAAATTAAACAAATATACTTTCTTAATAATTATTTTTTGAAATTTTTTATAATTTTCTATTTCTATTAATTTTTACTATAGCAAATAATAAGTGCGCGAAACATGATATTCAATTTATTATTATTATATTTGAATAATTTCAGATTCAAAATTTTACTAATTCACTTATTAAGTAAATAATTAATTATTAGTTTATTATTTTAAAAAATTTTCATTAAATTCTTCTCAAGAATTTAATTATTTTCATAAGTAATAAAATTCCTCGGAAAAATTCAATTATTTCTTATAATTATTATATCTTATCAATTATTATTTCTATGCAGGAATTTAATTATTTTTAATGCAATTTTAATAAACTTCCAGGAAAGAATTAAATTATTTTTTAAAATTTTTAATAAAATTTTTCGAAAGAATTTAATTATTTACTAAAATTTTAATAAATTTTATTCTTCGAAACGATTCAATTATTTTTATAAATAGTAAAATTCTTCGCAAGAATTCAATTATTTAAATAAATAACAAAATTCTTCTGAAAAATTCAATTATTTTCAATATAATTTTGATAAAATTGAATAATCAAAATTTTAATTGTAATTACAAATAGAAACGATTATTTTAAAAAGTTGAAAAAAATTCTTTGTTTAATTAAATTATTTTCAAAATTTAATTAAAATTATTAAAGAAAACTAAATTATTTTCAAAAAACTTAAAGAAATTCTTAAAAAAGATTTAATTATTTTACAAAAATTCTAAAACTTAAAGAATTTAATTTAAGCTTAAAAGAATTTAATTTTCTATCAATAATTTTAATAAAATTCAATAGTAAAAATATTAATTATAATTATTAACAAAATCGATTATTTTAAAAAAATTAAAGAAATTTTTTGAAAGAATTCACATATCGTCGAAATCTTTAATAGTATCTATAATCTTCGAAAGAATTTAATTATTTTCAATATTTTAATAAAATTCCTTGAATGAATTAAATTATTTTAAAAAATTGTAATAAAATTCCGAGATGAATTGAATTTTTAAAAAAATTTTAATTAAATTCAATAATCAAATGTTTCATTTCAATTATTTTAAAAACTTGTTAGGAAACAAAAAATAACTTGATTGGAATAAACGATTACTTTATTATTAAATAAATAATTATTTATATCAAATACTTTTTGAGACAATTAAATAGTATTTACTTTAAATACTGATGTTATTCTTTCCAGTGTACAATTTATTTGATTTAGAAAATAAAAATTATTTGATGCAAGTAAATATTTATTTGATAATAGACAATTAACAGGTTCTTTGAATCAAATAAATTTTTTTTCAGAGTAAAACAAATTGTATTTAACTGAATAATATTCCTAATTCAAAATACTATTTTTTATATCTATATTAATCCAACGATATTAAAGTTTAATTTAATTTAATTTTAAAAAAGGAATAATGTAAAATAATTATACCAAAAATTAAATTTAAATTTAAATTAATTATACCATAAAAATATTGTCATAGTGATAGTTATGGTTACCAAATTTTTGCGAAGTAAATTTACAAAACCTTTTTTTACTCTTCCAAATAAATAGGTTAATAAAATATAGGCTAGTCACTGTTACGGTTCACAATAAGTGACGAAAAATTTTTCCCTAAGATGAAAATAGAAAACCGTTAAAAACAGGATGAATGAAAATTTTATCAAGGTCCACTTATTGCCAAAAGATAAATTGTTTTTAACAGTGGAAAAATTAGTAAAAGCAGAAAATGCTATAAAGAGGAGGAAAAAGTTGATTAAGATTAATTATTATAATTATGAAAAATTACTTTACCTCTCAATTTTGAAACTCTGTAATATTTGCAACAATATAAACATAACGATGATGAAAAAGAGGTCGCATGCTTTTGGCACACATCCACCTTATCCACATTGACTCTGTTTGCTCTAGAGAAGCGACACGATTGCTCTCTGCCATGATGGTGGGTAAGGAGCCGACCAAAATAGAAAACGAATTTTACGATTAAATCTGAAGCCGGCAGTGAGCTCCACGTGTTTTTTTCATCTAGTAGTCATTCTCCCCTTGAACTAGAACAGAAAATTTTTTTCTTATTTACAACTTGTTCTCCATTTTCGTTTTGTTTTGCTTCTTTTCGAACAAAAATACTGTGTACTTAAAGACTTGTGTATTCATTGAAAGTAAATTGAAACTAAAGTAAGTAATTGAAACTAAAAGATAAAAAAAAGAAGAAAAAAATTTTTAATTGGAAAAAAATTTCTAAAAATAAGAAAAGAAATTTAAATTAGAAATAAAAAAAAGAATCAAAAGAAAGAAATAGAAATAAAAAGAAAGAAAAAAATAAAAAAAAAGAAATAGAAATAAAAAGAAAGTTAAATTGAGAATAAAAAGAAATTACAATATGGCACGAGCACCAATGAGATCTTCGTTGAGGAGTCGAGATTCATCGAGTACATCGACTGGTGTTGACCCTAGGGAAAAGATAAGGAATTATTGCCGCAAATTGATTGCATTTATGTTCACTCAGGTGGGTGTGGGTGGACTTATTGTTTGCTATGCATTGTTGGGAGCAATGGGGTTTCAAATGATTGAAACCCAAGAAGAATATCCGCACATAATGATTGTTGATAATTTGCGAAATTCTTGTGCCACGGATCTTTGGGAGGTGGCCAGAAAATTTAACGTTTTTAATGAGAGCGCCTACATCATGGGAACTGACAAAATTCTCGAAAAATTCCAAAATAATCTCACTCATTATATTAAGGAAGGATATAGTGGTCGATCTGTTCTGGAGGTTTGTTGCTTCTCCTGAAAAATAAAAAATTATTTTTTAATTATTATTTTGACGACCAAATAATAACATAATTATTATATATTATTATTATTATCTAATTATTAAATTTGAAAATAAAGACTATGAAGGAATTCAGAGTTGCAACTTTTAAAAATATTATTATAAAAAATGAAGAAATCGATCACTCCGAGTCGAAGACTCGGAGTGATCGATTTCTTCATGTTTTATAATATTGTTACTGCAACTTCTTCAAAATTATTTTCATCATTTCAATTCAATTTTTATTTTCTAGAATTTTTATAACTAAAATTTGTCTTTAAATCAATTATTTTTAATAATTTTTGAAAAATTTCTTTGAGAATTTTCAAATCTATTTGTTTACAATTCAATTTTACGTCAAATTTCGATTATTCGGAAATTCTTCAATTAAAAATATATATATTAGAAAATAAAAACTTCAAATAATTCCAAAAAAACTCAATTAAAATTATTTAAAAACAATTAATTCTACAGAATTGTTAGTTGAAAGTATGAAAAATTCAAATTTTCAAAGATTTTAATTTGAAACAATCTAAAATGTTTATTAAATTAATTTTTATTCGAAAATTCTACGAGAATTTAATTATTTAAATAAAAAAAATTTATTAAATAATTGAATGTTTTTCAAAATTGAATTCTCATAAAGAATGTTATCAACACATTTTTAAATAATTGAATACTTTCGACGAATCTTTCTAACATTTTTAAGAAGAACAAAATTTTTTGAGGAATTTAATTAAAATTGTATTAAAAATAATTGAAATTCTGCAATGAGTTTTATTATTTATGAATATAATTGAATACTTAAAAAGAATTTTATTATATTTATGAAAATAATTGAATTATTGATAAGAAATTTATTAAAAATTTGTAAATAATTGAATTCCTGTGAAATTTTTATTTTTAATGAAAATAATTAATTGTTTGCGTAGAATTTTATTAAATAATTGGATTCTTTTGGAAATTTTTATTAAAATAGAAGATATTAAAAATAATTGAATTCAGGAAAACATTGAATTATTGCGAAGAATTTTATAAAAAATTTATAAATAATTTAATTCCACTGGAATTTTTATTGTTCATAAAAAAAATTTAATGTTTGCGTAGAATTTTATTACAATTTTTATTAAAATTTAGTAAATATTGAAAATCATTCAATTGAGGAAATTTTTTAAAAATAATTGAAATACAAAAATAAATAATTTTTTGAATAAATGAATTTTTCTTAAAATTAAATTATCAAAAAGAATATTGTCAACAAATTTTTAAATAATTGAATTCTTTCGACGAATTTTTCTAACATTTTTAAGAAGAACTAAATTTTTTTGAGGAATTCGATTAAAATTGTATTAAAAATAATTGAAATTGTCCTATGAGTTTTATTATTTATGAATATAATTAAATTCCTAAAAAGAATTTTATTATTAATGAAAATAATTGAATTATTGCTAAGAAATTTATTAAAAATTTGTAAATAATTGAATTCCTGTGAAATTTTTATTAATAATAATTTTTTTGCGTAGAATTTCATTAAAATTTTTATTAAATAATTGATTTTTGTTTGAAAATTTGATTAAAGTAGTAGATATTGTAAAAGCATTGAATTGAGGAAAATTTTTAAAAATAATTAAAATTTAGCCAAGAATTTTATTAAAATTTTTGAAAATAATTTAATTTCTGTGAAGAATTTTATTACTTTTGAAAATAATCGAGTATCTGCGAAGAATTTTATTACTTTTAAAAATATTATTTGAATTGTCGCGAAGAATTTTATTATTTATGAGAACAATTAAATTCTTGTGAAGAATGTCATTGAAATTTTGAATTTAGGAGAAGAAGTTTACTATTTTTAAAGAAAAATTGAAATTTTGAAGAGAATTTAAAAAAATGTTTAAGCATAATTGAATTTTTACGAAGAATTTTATTACTTTTGAAAATAATTGAATTTCATTTATAACTTCTCCAAAATTAAATTTTTTAGTGTTTTTAACTAAAATTCTTCTATAAATCCATTATTTTTAATAATTAATCATATATTTATTAAAATATTTAACATAATTTCAGAAGAATTTGAATTATTAAAATTTTTTAAAAATCTAAGTTCTTTAAAATTTCTAATTAAATTCATTGAAAATTGAAATTTTATAAAATTTCAAATTGAAACCTTTTGATGTTAATCTATTTATGAAAATTGTAATCGCAACTCTTTTGAAATTTAATTAATTTTGAAATATTTAAGTAAAATTATTTGAATTTTTCATAGTTTTAAATTTATTTTTCAATTAAAATTATTCATTAAATAAGTAAGAAATAATTTTATGATAGTTCTTCAAAAATAAAGTTATTTAAAAAGAAATTATTGTGAGAAATAGAAAAAATTGTACGTTTTATATTAGAATTCATGGTAATTTAATAGTTTATGAGGCAAACAAAAAAGACACCAAAATTCAGAATTTTCTTATGAATTCTAAAAATTTAATTTTCTCCAGTACTTTTAATAAAATTTCCTGACTATTCCCTGATTTCTCTCACTAGTGACAACCCTGGAATTATTATTTGGACTCGTTTGTTTTTGAATAGAATTAGATTGTCAAAATTCTAGCAAAATGGAAAATTATTCCACTCACCATTTTCAAATGTTTTAGGTTTGGACTTTTCCGGCAGCCCTCATGTTCTCCCTCTCGATAATGACAATGATCGGCTATGGGAATATGGTGCCAAAAACCCCGTGGGGAAAGGGAACAACTGTAATGTATGCTGTCGTTGGAATTCCTCTCTATATCCTATATTTTCTAAACATGGGAAAAGTTCTTGCAGAAAGTTTCAAATGGCTGTACAGAAGAATTCATCAATGCAGTGGTCATCGAAAATCCGGTGCACGAATTATTGTGCCATCAACGGCGTGTCTTTGGGTAATTTTCGGCTATATCCTCATTGGAACAGTGATGTTCGCCGAATGGGAACAATGGGATTATTTGGATAGTGCGTATTTTTGTGTGACATCATTGTCGAAAATAGGAATCGGTGATTTTGTGCCTGGTGCAAATCTCATTGAATCGAGCAGTGAGAAACCAACAAAATTGGTTATTAATTTTGTCTATTTACTATTGGGTATGGGTCTCATTGCCATGTGTTATAATTTAATGAAGGAAGACGTCAAAGTGAAAGCACACGAACTCAAGGAAGATTTAACACAAGGATTAGATGATTTTCGACGACGTTTGTTGACATGTTGTCGTGAAAGTCCTGATCTTGATTGAAAATTTCGAATTTCTTTGATTTAATTTACATTCCTTTGTGTTTTTTCGTTGATTATCGTTTTTTGAAATTTGAATTTCCTCTTCTGCATTTATTAATTTCTGCAACAAAAAAGAAAGAGAATTTTTTAGTTTCAATAATGAGAGAACGTGAATTATTTTAATGCATTTACAATAACATTTTCATTGCTCTACTGTTTGGATTCTTATGTTTAAATGAGTTGTAAATAATTTTCGATTTTATTTTATTTATTAACTATTTATTTTCAGTATAATGACTATAAATAAAAATTAAAAATTGTAAAATCAAATATATGGAAAATATTGATGTTTGTTTACAAGTAGTTACTTAAAAATACTTGTGGTATTTTTAACTTCCACCTCGTACTGTACCGCAGAAATCGCATTACTAATTTTAATCAATTAATTAATTCCTCTAATAATTAATTTATTAATAATTAATTTATTTAATTAATTAATTTCCTTAATTAACTAATTTCGTTAATTAATTACTTCAGTTCAGTGAAAAAATATTCAATCTTAGTCTGTTTAAAAAAATTCCGAAAAAAATTGTTACTAATTTTATTTATTATTAATAATTATAATAAATTTTTTTTTCTTATTTTAAATATAAGATTTGAAAATTATTTTTTAAAAATCTTTAGTTATTAATTTTGTTATAGGGATATTTGGAATTTTAGTAGAGAATATGACGTCTGGAGAAAAGTTACCAACGACTTCAAAGGGTGTGCAAAATGTAATGCAAAACGTATAATTGATTTGGCATTTATAACACGTGTGTTTTGATAAAGCTCCCGCGATGTTTTTGTTTATTTTCAAGAGACTTTAAAAATTACACAGAAACTTGAATAATGACCCTGAAAATTAAACAATTTACAAATGTATCTGGATTTCTTCAAAGAAAAAATGATATTTTATACAATTCTCCATTACTCACTTCAGCCACTTCTCGAATTCTCATATTTTTCGGAGGCGACACTCAGGTTAATTTTATCACAAAATTATTTATTTATTTATAGACTAGACTTTCGTTGTAAGTAATTTATAAAATAGAAATAAAAAATATTGAGAAGCTTTTGAATTATTGATAAATAATAAATAATTAATATTACTATTTAATTAATATTAGTAAATATTATAAATAATATAAAAAATAGTAATAAATAATAATAGTGCAGAATTAATTAATAAAATAGGATTTTTCTGAGAATATGTCAAAGCACCGAGACAGTCGTCGTTATCAGGAATGGAGTTTAGAAAATACATCAAAACTAATAGCAGAGCGTTTTCCCAAAAATCATATTTTTATTATTCGACCAGTCAGGTAAACATATTAATTAATTCTAATCAAATTATTATTCATTTACTTGTACCTATTAAAAAACTAATTTTTTGTTACTTTTCTTAGGCGAAAAATATTTTCTAATGCAGTTTTAAATTGTTATGATAATTTTGTACCTGGAAACGAATTTGGTGCGCCGAATTTTTGTCAAAATTTCAACAGTTTATTACATTTGAAATTACTTCTTCAATCGTTGTCAATTCAAATTCCAACGGTATGAAAAAACACTCTAAAAATTACAATTTAATCAATTTTAATTTCGAAATCGTGTATTATTTAATTTTGATTCAATTGATTACTTAGAAATTAAGAAATTAATTTCAAAATCGTTTATTATTTAATTTTGATTCAATTAATTAGAATTTGAGAATTTAATTTCGAAATCGTATATTATTTTTGATTGAATTAATTTATTAGATCTAAAGAAATCTATTTTAATTAGATTTTTGTGTGGATTTTGAATTTTAAAATATGGCGATAATAATTTTCGACTGCCAATGACTTTCTTTAGGTTTCAACTGAAATAATGAGTGATGACTTAGTATTCATGGGATTTAGTAAAGGTTGTGTCGTATTAAATCAATTTCTCCACGAATTTAATTTTTATCAAAACAAATTGGATGTAGATAATGAAATGAAAAAGTTTATATTAAGAATTAAAGAAATGTGGTGGCTGGACGGAGGACATCCAGGCAAAAAGGATACTTGGATAACAGACGAAACGATATTAAAGTCGTTTGTAAAAATGGGTATTTATTTCAACTCATTTACTTTCATTTTCTTTCAGTTTATCAATTAACATTAACTTATTTAAAAAAAAATTGAGGGAATGAATTATCTTTCTTTTTAAAAGAAATATTTACAATCTCAAGAATTAGTCTTTGCTCATAATTTACAAGCAAGTCTTAAAAATTAAAGAGGTAAAAATAGATGCATTTAAAAATTACGAGACAAAATAATAAGTTATTAGGTAAAAATATTACTATTACAATAAAATAATAATATTATAGTAAACTATTAACATCATAAATATAACAGTTAAATAACTTATTATTTTACTATCAGATATTTAACTATTTGTAAATAACATTACTCGATATTTGAAAATTATAATATAAAAATGGAATAATTTTTCAACGATGAAAAATTTTAGGAATTGATATTCATGTACATGTCACTCCCTACGAAGTAAGAGATGACAATCGACCATGGATTCGTTTTGAGGAAGAAGTTTTTACTGATACTTTACGAAAAAAAGGAGCAAATATACAACGATTTCTTCATTTCGAAAACCAACCTTGTAAATTAGAAAATCACTTTCGTGTATTAAGAGAATTTTCACCCGTGTCACACAGTAATTAAAATTTATACTTATAAAGGAACATTTTTTAGTTTTTGTTTTAAAAAATTTTGCTTCATTTTAATGTTTCAATGTTTGAAGAAATTAGTTTGTTTAAAAAAATTTAATTTGATTTTACTTCCTTAAATGAAAGGATTCATTTTAGATTCTTGATTTTAAGATTTAAGATTATAAAAAACGAAGAACAATGATTTCCATAAATTACCTATTGTAGATTGCCAATTATTGAAAAAAATGTTGAATCGTTTGAATTAAACTCTTGTTTTGTTGAATATCAGTCGCATCACACAAAGTTTAGTAAACATTTTCTCAACATCGGTTTAAACAAGCACCTTGCAGACTAGGCTGATTATCTGGTGAAACAAAAGTTTCTATTTTAACTTTCAAAGAGTAAAAACAGTAATAAAATGGAAAAAAAATTAAAAATAGTAAATTAAAAAATTAGACATACTGGCAGATGTGTCGTGTAAAGAAATTCCGGACCATTCATCGCTACCATCACAACAATCACAAACACCATCGTTAACTTTGTAAGACGCTATTTTAGCTGCGAAAAATGTTAAAAATAGTTTTAAAATATTTTTTATTATCTTATATTAGTTAATTAATTAATATTTTATTTATATTAAATTTTAGTTATTAAATTAATACCTGGAAATTTTTTTGAAGACACTTCGCAATAGAATACACCATTATTGCAAGCGTTTGTTCCCGGTTCATCACTTCCATCCAATGGACAATCGCAATAATTGTCGTTAATTTTCAGGAAATCTATTTCCTTCTTGGAAGCAATGCAAATAAAATTTCCTCTTAAATTGGGAAGATATTTCCCAATATCTCGACTATTTGTTCCCCTTAGAGAAACGGTATTTCCATCTTTATCTTTTACCAATTTTGAATGTTTTGATTCATTCCACTTTGACATTATTTTATTGATAGCAACATTTTGTTTGTGATGTTGTTGTGATTCACGATTAATTTGACTTGTGTCTTCGTTCAGTCGTAATAAGTAAAGAAATTGCGATAATAAAAAACAAGTACATCCAAATACACTCAGGAGAATTAGAGCAAATTTTGATTTTCGTTTTCGATACAATTGCTTCATCAGTATCATATTAATGCACCTGAAAGTATGATAGTTATTAATTATAAAAATATGTAGTAATAATATTACTTCGAGTGTAATTTTTCTTAAAATTTAATTTCACAATTTATATTTTAACAAAATATTATAACTTACACAGAAAAATATAAATATATATTTAGAAAAACTTGAAATTACATAAACAACACTAACTTTTAGGTTAGAATGTTTTTCATTGTTATGTTCACGTTACGTTGAATTAAAATGTTATTTAATTTGCTAAATTACTTTATTTTTGTACTCACCTGATTAATTGACTTTAAGTTTTCTTAATTTAACACTCTTTAATAAACTAACATATTTTTCTGTAACAGATCTAAATATTTATTTAAACACCCGGTGTATATTTATCTCGAATCAGCTGATAACTAGAGAATTTTTTGTTTATGTGGCTGCACTGTAACACTTAAAAAGTGTACAAATCTATAAAAGAAAAAAAATGTTCGTATTTTACTTATTTATATAAACAGAATATTAATTTTCTTGTAATTATCAAAAAGTTTTCATGCAAAATAGTATAGAAATGTTGTTTTTGTGAATTTAATTAATAAATTATAATTTCAGAAAAGAAATTTGAATTTTCGCGCGCTTTTAAATTTAGTTCCGACTCTAGAGGTCAGTAGTGGTGAGTGCCAAGGACAACGGAACGACAGTAGCCATTCTTGTTTAACTTTAAATTTAAAAAAGAACAAACATTACTAAAAATTATAATCATTTGTATAGAAAATAATTTGTTTACATGAATACTACGTGATTTGTATACATACATTCTAACTACAAAAGTGATTTGTGTAAATAATGCTACATAAACAAGCGTACACTTTCATAACCTAAAATTTTTTTAATATCTATAAAAAGATCTATTGTGTGAGTGTAAAAAGTAAAAAAAAAAAAAACTAAAAGCAAATAACTTAACAATCATAATAATTGTAGTGATAAAGAATGTCTTATCGAAAAAGGAAAACTTTGAGTGTTAATTGTCGTGAAATTTTTTATAAGCATACTATTTGTGCATTTCAAACAATTTTTTACAAAAAATCTGCCTTTTATTTGTGCATAAACATCTGCTGAGTTAAAAAGATAATAATATTCTTGGAAATACTTTGTATTGTAAAAGAATGAGATATAAATTAGCAATTGAGGTCCTATCTTTTTGAGTCGAACATGACATGTGCCTCTGGTATTGTCATTTATCGATTTTTTTTCTCAGAGTGGGTGGCATTGGCGTTGTGAGAGGGATTTCATATATATTTTGGGGACGCCGGGCGTCGGTCTTTGATTCTCTTTTAGTATTAGTGTTCATAAAGCAGTGTTTACTTCCGCGGACCAAAACATCGATGACCTTGAAAGTAGATCACGTGGTTCCAAGACTTCCCGTTGATTGGTCTATAACGTCTACAGAGGGAGCTCACATCGTCGTGTTTGGCGAGTGTGTGCAAGATCTTTGCCACAAGTGCGACAGAGAAATAATCGTCAAAGAGAAGAAAGAACTGGGAAGCGTGCGTGTGCGCGCGCGTTGATTGTGTGGTTGGTGTTGTCCAAGATGAAGTCCGACTCTTTGTTGACAACTCAGGCAGAAAAGGCAAATCATTACAAGTAAGTTAAGCGCCCGCCGGGCGGGTCGCAAAAAACGATACGCGGGTTGTGGGCGAGTTTGGATCTTTAAAAGAAAGAGAAAAGCAAAAAAAAAAAAATTGAGAGAGAGAGAGAGAAAGAGAGAAACCAAGTGTGCCCCAGTGCCTGAGAGTGCCAGAATACGAAAAAGAAGAGCCGCGCGCGCGATCAACGCGCGTGTGAAAACGCCACGAAATAATGTGTAGTTCTGTGGATTCGCATTCCAGATACTTGAAGGAATTTCGCGTCGAACAATGTCCCCTCTTTATACAACGCAAATGTACTCAACATCGGCCGTTCACGTGTTTCAATTGGCATTTTATGAACCAGAGGAGACGTAGACCGGTCAGAAAGAGGGACCGCACCTTCAATTACAGCGCGGATAATTATTGCAGCAAGTACGACGAAACAACCGGCATATGTCCCGATGGAGACGAGTAAGTCTTTCATTTTGTTAAGTTATTTTCAGTCTCGTATTTTGTCTAACAGGCGCAGATGTTATTTCATCCATTCCCTCCCCCCTCTTTGCCACCCCGCGACGCCCCGCGGGCTTCTTTCTTTACTGCACTTCTTTAGATTTTATTACGCCCTCAGTTGACAGCACCTTCATTCTATTTACCTTAACTTAAACTATCATTTACTTTTAATGATTAAAAATAAGAATTTCTCATTTATTTTGTGTATGTGTGCGGAAAAAAAGGTCTCTTTATCAAGTTAACCATGTTTTGCTTACGTCGCAATATAACGTGATCTTTTTTTTCCTTTCATCGATTCCTCTATTTTGTTGTCTCGGAGAACGATGTGTCCATCTTACCGACTGTGCTCTGCCTTTCTCTCAATCTCAGCCCCTTCCCCTCATCATTATCATCATCATCATCATCATTATTATTGTCCTTCCATGCCTTTTTTGTCTGCTCTCAAATATCATTTTTTTCAATTCTCTGATGATCTTTATTTACAATTTTTCAACTCCCACTCCAAGTCTTTATTTGTATTGTTTGTTCTTTAAATTAAATTATTTACACAAAATTCTATGCTAATGAGGAAAAAAAAACAAGAACAGATTTTCTTTTTGATAAAATTAGAATTTTTCCCTTTCTTTTGTTTTTTTCCAATATATTTTAGTTATGTAGAATTTATTTTGTCCTTTTATTAAATTCGAATGAATGGAATATTGTAACTCTTGGCAAACTATTTTTGGCATTAAAAGTAAATTTTAAGAATTTATAAATAGCGTAATCTTTTCCTTATAAAGTTTCTCTCGAGACTTTATTTTTTTTCCCCTTGTTTTTATTTAATTTAAATTTATTTTTACCTATCTGTAAATTATACTTTTTATCTAATTGAAAAATGTTTTTCTGAATATTGTTCCAATATATTTTATTTTATGTATATTTCTGACATATTTCAGGGCACGAACGGAGAAAGAGAGTGGAGAATAATTGAAAGATTGATTTACTTAAAAAAAATTTTTTTTTGAGTGAATTTAATTTATGTACTGGACAGGAAAATTTGCTCTCAGACGAAAACAAAAAAAAACAGAATCTTCAATAATTGTAATGAGTGTATTATGATATGAGATTCAAGAGAGGTTTTTTTCTTTCAATATAAAAAAAATTCAATACTTGAAGATGTTGAATGATATTTTGCGTTTGTATCCTTCGCTTGTGCCGTTGACACACGACACGCGAATACGTAACGGAGTCGCGTGACGATATTTAACATTAGCGACACTCGAAGCAAAGTTACTTGGCATGGTGGGTGTCTTTTTGAATCTATGGAAGGCGATTTATTATTTTTATGGATCAAATATAATAAATATATAAAAAGAGAGAAAGAGAGAGAGAGAGAGATGAGAGAATCAGATCGCAAGCATCATTTTAAATCACCATCTGGTTGTAGATATAAAAACGCCGGCAGACGTTTATTTATTACGAGGGCTTGTTATGCAATTGATAGACTGACAGAGGGCAAACAACTATCAAAATTGTTATTCTTTATTATCCTTCATTATTCTTCTTATCAAACTTGCAACTCCGTCTTGCAAATAACGCCTCGACGATCCAGAAAAATTTTTTATTGTCAATTCCTTCTTGTTCTTATAAGTTCGTTAACATTTCTAATTTGTTTTCTTCTTGTCAGAAATTCTGCATTTATAGTTTTGAAAGGTTTTCGATTTGTTAGAAAAGCTTCTCTTGTTATAAAAATTACCCAATTTTTCTAGAATTTTTCTCTTGAATTTTATCCTTTTCTACATTTGATTTTGATTTGAAATTTTATTTTCATTTATTTATTTAGATTTTATTATTTTTCTTTATTTATTAAGATTTTAATATTTTGTTTATTTATTTAGATTTCATTATTTTTCTTTATTAGATTTCATTTTTGTTAACTTATTTAGATTTTATTATTTTTATTCATTTATTTATTTTTTATTATTTTTATTCATTATTTGTAGAGAATAAAGTTTGATTTATTTCGTGAAATAGAATTTTTTAATTCGAAAATTCTTAATAAACTTGCATTTGAATGAAAATGTTATTAAATGGAAATTCTGCTTTTAATAAAAATAGTCGAGGAAGAATTCAATTAAATAAAAATGCTGTTAAAAGAAAATTCCTTTTAAAATAAAAATTTCCTAAAAGCTGCTAGAAGTAAATATTCTCTTAAATAAAAATTAAATTGAAAATATTTATATGTAAAAATTCGGTAATTTGAATTCTGTCGGTTGGGAATTTAATTTTTCGCAAATAATCGAAATTCGATTTTTGAAAGAGAAAAAAAAGGAGTAGAAATTAAAGAAAAAAAATAGCAATTAAAGAAAGAGAAAATTTGAATTTTTAGGATTTGAATTAGACTGTGAATTTAGAACAAAAGGGTTTTGAAGGAATTTTTATTATCGAATTACAAATTATTGTTGCAAAGTAATTAGAAACTAAGAAACTTGAATATCAACTTTCACACAAGTTGCAATATTTCGTCTTAGTTGGTTCTGTCTGCCTTTGCAAATAATCGACCTTCATGACATTCACTTTACATTGTGAGGTATATTATAATACAATCGCAGGTTGAATTCAAATAAAGAGATTTTCAATTTTTTTTTCTCTTTATCTTTCATCTCTTGATAATTTTTTAAACAAACTTTATTTTCATGAAATATTGTTTCACAATATTAGATTTGTCAATTTTTTTGTTTGAAATAATATTTAACGTGTTTGGGAAAGGAAATTCTTTTTTGTCGATTAACAAATTTTTTTTACTCTTTTTTTTTGTGTATTTATCTTCCGGAATCATTGAAATTCACGAAGTTTGATTTTATTTTTTTACTATCGTCTTCGACTCGAGTCGGCAATCGTGACCGGAGTGTAAAACAGACGGATGCGATAATGTGATCCTGACATTCTACTGTTTTTTATTTGTGGAACAAAGAGAACTTAGCGTGCATCATATTTGTTTAATTTTTTTTGAAAATATTAAATTTTTTGTTTAGTTTTCTTTTTGTTGTTTAATTGTTTTAATTATTTTTGTCGGTAGAAACCATTAAGTCTTAATATTTTAGTTATTAATTCAAAATTTAATTTGTTACTGTGTTTTATTGGAGTTTTTGTCAATTTGTTATTTTATTTATTAATTCAAAATTTAATTTGTTATTGTGTTTTATTGGAGTTTTTGTCAATTTGTTATTTTATTTATTTTGGTTTAATTCAATTTTTGTTCTTTTATTTTTTTATTGTTTAACATTTTATTTATGTAGTATTTTTAGTTCAATTTTCAATGTTGTTTTTTGGCAGTTTGTTATTTTTATTTTATTTATTTCGTTTTTGTAGTTTATTCAGTTTAGTTTTTCATTGTTGTTTAATTGTTTAAATTATTTTTTCAATTTTTTTATATTATTAACCATTAAGTTTTTTAATATTTTAATTATTAATTAAAAATATTTATTTTTGATAGTATTTTATTGATGTTTTCTGTCAATTTGTTAGTTTTGTTTTTTTTAATTTAATTTTTTATTCTGTTTTTGTTCGAAATTTTATTTTTGTATTGTATTTTTAATTTAGTTTTTTATTTTTTAATTGTTTACTTTATTTTTTCAAACAAGAATTCTCAAATTATTTAGTTTCATTTGTGTAGTATTTTTTAGTTTAGTTTTTATTGTTATTTAATTGTTTAAATTATTTTTTTCTGAAATATTTTTTCAAAAATAATTTGTTAAATTCGAAAAATATTTTTTCCAAATGCGCTAAATTTTTTTTCCAACAAGAATTGGCAAATTCTTTAATTTTTTTTTTTTTGTAGTATTTTTTTTATTGTTTGAATGTTTAAATTTTTTTTTCAAATAAAAATTCTTAAATTGTTTAGTTACTTTTTTGTAGTATTTTTATTTTTATTTTTATTGTTGTCTAATTGTTTAAATTATTTTTATCCAGAGTATTTTTATAAAAATAGTGTATTTTGTTATCTTTTTTTTCTTTTTTTCTTTTTCAAAATATTGGTTTACCAAAAATAATTTGTAAATCGATACAATTTTTTTTTCAAATTGCGCTAAATATTATTTTAAACAAAAATTATTGACAACTTGTTTGAATTATTTTTAGTTGGTTTTCTATTGTTGTTTAATTGTTAAAATGATTTTTTTCCATTTCTTTGTTGTAACCATGAAGTTTTTTTTATATTTTAATTAATTGAAAATCTAATTTTTAATTATTTTTTATTCTTTTTTAGTTATAATTTCTTTACATTTTTTTTTGTAGATTCTAAAAGAGATTTTTTGTAGATTTAAAAAATATTTTTCAGTTTTGTTGAATTTGTATAATGTAATAAATTTCGATTATTCGAATCGAATAAATTTCGATCAGTTTTTTCGTCATTGGAGAGGGGGATTTATTAAAACAATATTTTATACAGTCACATTATCTATATTTAAGCCTCTGAGTCTCTTTGTGTGAACAGTTTGATGCTCTATTTAGAATTATGTAACTATGTATGAGTCATTGTTTACCTCTCGTCATATTAGAAAATTAGTCATCTGAATAGGATCGATTTAAGGAAATGTTCAAGTTACGAATAGATTTGTGTTATAATAATAACAACAAAAGAAGAGTATCATTTCTCATCACATTAGAGTATATATAGTCTCTTTCTTTTTTTAGCAAACTATTTTCTAAAAACAGAAAATGTATCTATTTCTGCCTCTTTTTTTATATTTGGTACCATATTCTTCTTTGTTTCGGTTTTTTCTTCAATCTTTTTTTTTCTTTCTTCATTGGCGTTTTGAAATGATCATTAAATTGCGTAAGTGTTTGTAAATCCTTTCTGCTTTTGGTTAACAGAGAAAAATCGCAGATTATGTCATGCATTGGGACTGACGAATTGTATACGTATACATTTTATGTAGGCAGAACTATTAAGACCGGATGAACATATGATCTAAATTATG